TCATCAGCATCACAGACATGTCCAGAGAATATTTGCTTTTTGGACGATTACTATCAGTTTTCAGATTGTTGTACAAAACTTAATAAAGTGAAAAAATAGATGTTTTTACAAGCCTTAATTAATAAAACCGGCATGATATACATACACAGTTGTCATGAATCTGCATAAAGTAAGATGTGATTACTTACTCGAACTTGTTCAATGATTTTTCTGATCTGGGGCTCAAAACCCATGTCCAACATTCTGTCTGCTTCATCAAGAACCATGTATGTTGTTCGTCTGAGGTTAGTCTTTCCAGCTTCAAGGAAGTCAATCAATCTTCCAGGTGTTGCAATGCAGATTTCAGCTCCTGAAATAATATAAGGAAACCTTAATTTTATGTTATTGTATCCTAATGAATGCGTAAAGAGTTTTGCTAAATTATTAAATACAAGCTTGCCCATGCATAGGTTAATTACCTCTTTCTAGATCTCTGATCTGTGGTCCCTTTGGAGCACCGCCATACACACAGCAGTTGCGAACCTTGGATGCATGGCCAAATTCAATGGCTACTTCTTGAACCTGCTGGGCTAACTCTCTTGTTGGAACCAGCACCAAACACTATAATAAAATACAATGACTTAAGTAATTTTAACATGTTCTAACTAGAAACATCAAGCTCAGGTTTCAATACAGTCAATAGCGATATGACTTAAGGACATGTCAACTGTTGCAATAAATAAAAGTGAACTGAACTGAAATTCAGACCATGGTGCCTACACCTGCTGTTTTTGTCCAAAGTGTTTGATGCATAACAAAATAATACTTACAATTGGTCCATCTCCAGGTTCGAGGTAGGGTTGATTTGTTATGTGGATGATAGCTGGCAGGATAAACTGCAAATCAATTGATTGAACCAAACTTAGAGAAACTCAAGTTTCAAAAGTCAGCAGGAACACTGAATAGTGAAAATGATTCACAAAGGCATAAACCCTGTACTTATAAATTGCTTAACTTCAAGTACATAGTTTCATGTGATCAAATGGTTGTCCTAACCATGCCAATATTTTGTATGCTGCATAGTATTTTAATTTATTTCTTTTATAAGTTGTATTTAGAAATTGTATGATGAACTTGCTTGATAATGGTTTTAGTATCTGCGCCAAATCCTCACATTCATTGTAACAAAGAAGTTGTATATCCATAGAACTATCTCCCTTGTTCAGCATCTTAATTATCCTTTAGTTTTCATAGCCTTTCCCTCAAGTGTTCAACTAAAGAAATATATGTTATGTGTGAGCATACCCCAAGAGTCTTGCCTGATCCTGTCTGTGCAATTCCAACACAGTCTCTGCCTGAAAGTGCAACAGGCCAACCCATACTCTGAATTGGTGTTGGTTTTTGCCAGTTGTTTCTTCTGATTTGATGCATAACATAGTCTGTAAAAAAACAAACAATATTTCATGTACAGCACCACAATAAGGCACTTACTATCTTCATGAAAATTAGAACAAGTATCATCAGGAGGTATCATATTCACACCCCACATAACCATTTAATTTTTTTTATTGTTTTGATCACGAAAAAGGATCAAAAACAAAAATTCGAAATCATCAAAAGGCACCAGCTTCCTCGACCTATCTAAATAGGTATTTCCAACAAGAAATATCTAAATGTTTTTGGAGTTCTGCTGAGGAAACTGACAGCTAACAATTTGCTCTTTTTACTTCATGTCAATTAAAACAATTTCATCTTTTCCCCAAAAAAATTAAGATCCCATGATAGCAAAAGATGGATTTAAAATCAATATCTCGCTAAAACCAACCTGGAATGTTTGCCTCTTCAAAGGCAAGGATTGCCTTTGGTACATCTCGTCCCCTAATTGTAATCTGGTTCTCATTGTAGAATGCCTGAATTTCTTCCTAGAAATAGAAGAGCAAACACTGAAATCATCATATATATCACATTCATGGTTAGAAATTAACACTAGCCCATTAGCCTAGGGCTAGCACAAATTCCTGCGGGCTAGCATTAATTTCCCTGTTGTTTAACATTACAAGGTCAATTTATCTTTACCTGGGCAAGTAAAACTTTTTAGTTAAGTCCTAACCCTGCACATGCCAATTATTGTGATTTGTTATAAAAACTTGTATATAACTAAATACTCACGGGTGATCGATTCACTACATTTGGATGTTCCCTGTAGAAATTCTTTTCAATCTTGGGAAGCCTCTCCATATCCCATCTGGGTTTCCTCAGTCTTTCTCCAGGTTGTATGCCCTTGAGGGATGGCCTGCCACCACCTCGACCCATACCACCACCAGATCCATATCTGTCAAATCCTCCTCCACCTCGACCACCATCTCTCCCTCCAAAACGAGATCCTCCACCTCGACCACCATCTCTCCCACCGAACCTAAGACAAGTTAAATAATTGATTTGACTTTTCTAGGGAGAACAATTCATAAGAAACTTGTTTGCAAATGAAAGTTGGTACTTTTTCCTGAGCATCTAGACTTGGAACATATTCTCAGACTTTACCGAGGTTATATAGTGTCCCAACAAACTTGCGATCAACTATTTCCCAAACTGAGTCTAAGTTCTATCAGTTAAGACAATTTCCAAAGATGTTTGACATAGCATGTTAATCCTTTGTTACTTGATAGATGATCTGAAACCGGACAGGTTTATTTGATCAAATTTGTTTCCTTGAGAATTTGCATCTCACCCGAACCTTTGCTTCTGCTCAACAGAAAAAAAGGATAATGAAATGCCTCCACACTAAAAGGTTGTACATTTTAGCCTTAGATTTCTGAACATGCTGAAGGGGCACTGGACCATTTCGGCCCATGTCCTGATAAGTATTTCAGAACATAACCGGATAAGAATTCGCATGTATAGTATCGTTCGAAATTAGTCATGTCGTTTTTAAGTGCGCGTCATATTTTTGTAATCGACAAATTGTGCGAACAGAAAACAGTTTACACTTGTGATACTCCTTCGAGGTGGACGGGGAAGCCATTTCGAAACGACGCCATATTGGATCGATATTTCTCGAATCTGTGCCTTCACGCAAATTAAAATAATAACTAAGAATGTCCATTGTAAAGAAATAAAAACTAGAATTACGAGGGAGACGTTTAAAAAACACGTGATTCTTGAATTTATCAATTCCATGAGAACCAGGCCTTAATCTATCACAGCGTAGCTGACAAAGCAAATTTTCAAGGACCCATCCCAGTTAGATTTAGACCTATTCTTATTGCTGTTCATTTAAGGTACAAATTTATGATCTATGTAAAATACAAATGAAACTCACCCTTTTCTGTCTGATCTACCTGATGAGTCGAACATTCTATCTCTGTATGACATGCCCGTTGAAACACTGCGACCTACTAGTGGTGGGGCTGCTTTTCTTAATGATTGCGCTCTGACAAGATGGCGAAGTAGTGAGCCGGTCAACACTGACGTCATAAGGGTATTCTTGCGCGCTCGTCTGCTAACAATGAAACGTTAATTGCAATGGGTGGATAAACTGAACATAATCAGCAAGATGAAAACAATGGGCAATTAGTACACGACATTGCTAATTAATTCCGAAGCGTACCTTGATTCTGTGACACGCAATGACACACAAAATATCAGACATGCATCTCTAGATCTATCCACACGTGCTCACCAGTCTCAATGACAACAGTTTATCACAAAAGCAAACTCGGTAAGGCGAAGAAAAATAGATTGCGTTCCCCGATGAAATGTTGTGACATGTGAGAGGATCATGTTTTGAAACAAAATAAATAAAAATAAATGAAGTTTCTATCTAATGTCTAAATCTATCATGTCGTTCTCTTCTCACTTAAATATAACTGAAATGAGAGAGACACTGTGTATCGTCAGTTATACAAGTCCGTGGTATCGTATAACTCGTCAGAAGCCATAGTCACAAAGAGACACAATGTGCGCTTTGAGTGTGCATTTCAGGGTATGTGTATGCATGACATACACTTATATAAGCAGCACAATCATTATTTCATAAATATACAACATAACGTAATAAAATGTCACAGTATAGGAGAAGGTCTCACTCCTGCCTAATATTTAATTGGCAATGCAATAACATGTTAAAATGAGGGATCAGTGTTAATTAACCATATATCGGAATCGTGAATATGGTTCATAAATTTCACGTACTTTCTACACTGTGAATAGATACATAATTAGGTTATTTAAGTCGATAGAAAATAGGAGGTTTCAAACATGATATATTTTATATAAAACTATCCCTACTACATTTCCCAAAACTGTTATTTTGCGTTCGAATATCAAGTTCTTAGCCAGTATTTAGATTTCATCACTTAATCGATGGTAGGTTAACATTCAAATAATAGATTTGAGGTTAATTATTTTTTATATACTCTGTATGCAATCCATTTGGAACTTGTTGTATACACCAATACCAGTCTTGAAGAGACGTTTGATCCCTGATTGATAACACCGCTGAGTTACAGTTATGTGTCACCACTAGTTTCGATACTAATACACACTGCTATTTACGGTAACTCGACACTCCCTTCAAGTTATTGAATTTCTTTTGGACGTATCAGGGTTCAGCATTATTTTAATTCTCAGAGTTTTTTAATTATTAAATTACAAGTATGTACACATACGAATTTTTCGATGTGATATCACGCCAAAATAATACATAATAAGAGAAAGTTAAGTGTAATAGTTTTAACTAAATAGAACGCAATTAGATATATATATTTCGTTTTAATCTAGATACCACTTTTCGCCCTTCCCTTAGGCCTCCTGTCACGTGTTTGATACGACTGAGTGAACATGTGCGTCCGCAGGGAAAGAAAATAACACCACATAAATGGTAAAATGTTCTATGTCACATGAAAAGTAGACCGACTTTATGAAATAGTTATGCAATTACGGATTTAAAAACATTTTTTACACTATAATATACACAGGAATAGATGAAATGTGATATTTACGCAATGATCAATCACGTGGCCGAGGAATGTCTACGAACTCCCTACACAGTATTTCCTGTGTGTATAGAAGGAATTGTAAAAGGACTCGGTAGTGAAGAAGCAGTGCACTAAGTTTACAACAGAGAAGCATGGTTTGAATCAACACTCGTCAACTGGTGGAAGTCATTACGAGAAAGTATGCTGGAAACTTTATACAGATTAATGTAAACGAAAGTTCCCCAGATAAAATGAGCTAAATTAGGGAATTTCAGGATATCAATTAAACGCACAACGCCCATTTGCACGACAGGGAAAACCATTTAGTTTTCATTCTCTTCGAATTTACCGTATAAAATAGTGGATGGGAGAGTTGAAGGGATTCCAAAATATACTATGTAATGTGTGTTCTGCTGTTGTGGTATGTTAGGTTAAATGTGAATAAAAGATTTTGACGTGATGTTTATCTGGATGATAAACATTCACCTTCCTTCACTTTGTTGAAAGTGGAACAATGACAGAGTCACAACAGTCGGCTACACCTTTATTGCCAGTTTGTTACATTCAATAATAAGAGATCAATCGAAAGAAAAGAGACCACTTTGTGTGGAAATAACGAAGTTTGTGGCATAGAATAATCCCAAGGGCAAATGCATAATCTCTTTTAATAGCTATATGTTGTCACTCACTCCTTCCATTGTACGTTTCTGTAATTAGTTGCATGAGGAATTTAATTGCATAGCCCTAAGTACAAGGTACAACAAAGGCAGTGGTAGGTGCTGTGTTGTTTCAAGGACAGTCTTGATGTCTAGTTATAATGTCTTTATGGGTGATCCTAATCCTCTCAATGTTGTATAGCCTTTCTGGCATCTTCCAAGAGACAATTAGTCAGTATTTGAAAAGAAGCATGAAAGTCAAGAGGTCCTTGTCATAACCTTACTGTTAAAACTGGAAAGAATATAGGGGACCTTAGATTCAAAATCCCTCTAAATATGAACTTGAATGTAATTTAAGTATGTTAAATATAGATTGTTTTACATGGAATAGTAATGTTTTGTAATTAGTCCAAAGGCCCTCCTATAATGAACTTTCTTTTCCTGGTTGCTCCAAACATATGGATAGATAGTAATATTCAGCTTTAAACAGCTTATTTAATCTCCAAACTTAACTTAAATGCATGCATTAATCACCACTTACAAACTAATAATGTGAATTAGAGGTTTATGGACATGCACCTCTTCATTGTAAAATGAATGAACACAATGCGTTTGAGTGACAAGGAATAAGAATCTACCCCAAATGCACCCATTTACAACAAACTTCCACCCATAAACCTGTCATTACTGCATATTCTACTCCATTTTGGATGGTGCCGCCTACGTGGTCTTGTGGTAGAGCGTCCGCCCAGAGAGCGGAAGGTCCGGGGTTTGATCCCCGGCCGCATCATACCAAAAGACGTTAAAAGATGGTTCTTGTTGTTACCCTGTCTGGCGCTCGACATTAAGGGGCTAAAACAAGGACTGGTCGGCTCGGAGTCAGTATACTGTGTCTGAGTGGGGTATTCATGTTAAACTGCAGCATGGTATCTCAGTGAGCTAGCACTATAAATCAGCATCAGTCCGGACTAGTACAAGCAGCCACACACACACACGTGCATGCACGTCGCTTTATAAGTGCAATAATCTTGGATGCGACGTTAAACCCAATTTCACCCCACCTCACCATTTTGGATGAGGACATTTATATCGTTCCATGATACACACAACTGATTCTCATATGGCAAGTGTATACTGTATATATTAAATGAGAATGACAAATTTCATTATCCCTATTAAAAATTGAGTGGTATTTATCACTTCCTTTTGCTAACAAACAACAAGTTAGTAGTTGTTGCCTCTCATGTGTAGCCCATTTCATAATGAAAGGTGAGATATGTGACTGGTATGGTTTTATATGTGTAAACAGGTTCACACGAAAGGTCGACCTTAGCAGATCAGTCCAACTAAATCATTATTAGAAATAGTGATAAGTAGAATGAAACAAGTTTGAATCCTGGTTCACCCTGATTGTGTTTATAGGTTGGTCTGCTTCATTCGCATGGGGGACACAGGTGGCCCAGTCATTTTAGGCGCCGCATGTGCAGAGTATCATCCCTTTGGCACGCCAGAAACCTATGATTGTGGGTTGGAATCCCGGTTCACCCTGATTATGTTTCTAGGTTTGCCAGCACCATACCCGTGCTTGTGGGTTTCACCGAAGTGGTAAAAGTCTCAGACCTGCATCACTTCGGGCTGACATGCCGCGATATAACTGGAATACTGTTAAAAGCGGCGTTATTCCCAACTCACTCATTCGCATGCTTGTGTGTTTCACCAAAGGGTAAATGTTTAAGACTTGCACTTTTCCCACTTCAAACTGACACACATTGATATTTCTAAATACTGTTCAAAGAAGTGTTGAACCAAACTCACACTCTATAATTAAACAATCAAAGAGAAAATAGATAATACAGTTTAATTTGTCAGTCTCAGATCTCTGGGATATTTCCTGGTATCAAGACAACTGACCATCCTTTAATAATAAGCCTGATACCGTACTACATTAGCATAATTCATACAGGGCTTGACCTGTGAAGATCCGGGGTAGAATAGGTTTTCAGCAACCCATGATGGCCGTAAACGACTATGCTTGTCGTAATAGGCGACTAACAGGATCGGGTGGTCAGACTCGCTGACTTGGTTGATGCATGTCATCGATCTCAATTGCGAGGATCGATGCTCGTGATGTCAATCACTGGATTGTGTGGTCCAGACTCGATTATTTTACAGACCGCCGTCATATAGCTGGAATATTGCTGAGTGCGGCGTTAAACAACAAACAAACAAAAAATCATACAGGGCTTACACTTTTAGCTCACCTGATTGAAAGTCAAGTAACCTTATGTCTGGTGCGGTCTAGTTGTCCATCTGTTATTCACCTGTATCTCCTCTGAAACTACAAGGCCTATGGAGTTGAAACTCCGTATGAATAATCCCAGCTATGGTGTCTCTAAACAATGCTTACAGAATTATGATCCAACTTGAAGCATGGCAGCCACATCAAAAATTGCATTTTTTACCATGACTGGGCCACTTGTTCACGTGTCATTATAAAATTTGATATGCGGTAAGTATCTGGTATGCGGAAAAACATACAAGAATGGAAGAATAACATGGGCACCTTGTTTGGTCAAGCAGCGTTAAAAATTGTCCTTTTTTTATTTTGATTAGATGCCACATATACCATGATTTGTGTTTGAGAGAATATTGTGAACGGAAACTGTTTGATTGTAGGTGCAATCATGACTGACCTCCGGCCAATGACCAGTGACCTTGGAGTACTGACTCGACCTGATGGAACAGTGACCTTCACGCAAGGTGACACAGGAATCCTGGCAGCAGTATATGGACCAGGAGAAGTGAAAATTGCTCGGGAAATACTGGACCGAGCCACAGTGGAAGTCATCTACAAACCCAAATCAGGGCTGCCCGGATGTTCTGAGAGGTTGCATGAACGATACATTCGCAATACAGTAGAGACGGCCATATTGGCTTCCCTTCACCCCAGGTCCTGCATATCAGTGACTGTACAAGAGCTGCAGGACTCGGGCTCCCTGCTCGCATGCTCCGTGAATGCAGCTTGTTTGGCGTTACTAGATGCCTGTGTGAACATGAAGTACCTGATAGCGGGAGTGTATGTGATTATAGACAGAGAGGGCAACACGGTACTTGACCCGGACCTCAAGCAGGAGGGGGAGAAGGTGGCTGGTGTGACGTTTGTGTTGGAGAACCAGACCTACAGTGTTGTCACCATGTCCAGTCGCGGAAGTCTCACCACGGAACAGTTCCACAGGTGTCTTCTACATGCCCAGGCGGCTGCCAAACAGATTTTCTCCTTCTACAGGATTGCAGTTGAAAAGAAAATGTCAAAACCATGATTGCTTTTAATAAAATGATTTTTGTAAAAGTTATTTTTATTTATTTCAAACTTTCTTTCTGTGGTGTTGTGACGTTATTTTGCCTCCTCAATGTTTAGGAAGGCTCTTACCTCCTGATTAAAGGCGACTATGCTTGTCGTAAAATGTTAATGGGATTGGGTAGTCAGGCTCGCTGACTTGGTTGATGCATGTCATGGATCCCAATTGCATAGATCAATGCTCATGATATCAATCACTGGATTGTCTGGTCCAGACTCGATTATTTACAGACCACTGTCATATAGCTGGAATACTGCTGAGTGTGGTGTTAAACAACAAACAAAACTTAACTCCTGATGGTGGGCACAAGGATCTGCTGCCGAACCTCCTCCTGGAACAACATCAGCTGCAACTGGAACGACTCCTGCAGCAACAACACAGCATGTATTTCAGAACATATTCTTTCAGCAAATCCACCCGCGAAGATCTGGGTCAGAATAGGTCTTCAGCAACCCATGCTTGCTGAAATAGGTGATTACTCTTGTTGTAAGAGGTTGACCAACGGGAACATGGTGGTCAGGCTCGCTGACTTTGTTGATGTTTGTTACCGTATCCTAATTGCAAAGATTGATGCTCATGATGTCAATTACTGGATTGTCTCGTCCAGACTTAATTATTTACAGACCGCCGTCATATAGCTGAAATATTGCTGATCGCGGCGTTAAGCAACAAACAACCAAAACATCAAGCACATGTTGGGAAATGTTCAGTAGTTTATGTGCTAATTGTTGCAATGGATGTGGTTTCTAATGATGCACATGGTGATCCATAGGTGTTCTTTTGGGTTAAGGTCAGGTGTTTTACTGGTTCTGTAAAAATGCTAAAAATTACACATGACTTAGATGCATGGTCTAAGAGTAAGTTAGCATGGTGCATTGGAACATCGTGCCGCTGTAGGATTTCTTCACAATGTCGTCAGGTTATGTTTCCTTGAACTTGCAACAACTTTGTTCTCAGTGGGAGAATGTCGCCCACATCACGCTGCCATTGCCTCATCTGTTGGATCCTGTATACAGTTAGAGGCAAAACATTTCCTGGCTCTAAAACAAAAGTCCTTACAGTTGTCGATGTCGTAGTAGATGTTGGTGTTCTGATACTTGCCTACGGTTGGCACTGTCTGGTCTGATGTCCTTTGGAATCCTAGAATTGCTGCAGAGGGGAGAAAGTTGTTCATCTTTGCTGCAAATGATGCAGAGACATTTGTTTGCAATGTGGCCTCTACTAATCTGTTTGCAATGTGGTCTCTACCAATCTCTGTTGCAATGTGGCCTCTACCAATCTCTGTTGCAATGTGGCCTCTACTAATCTGTTTGCAATGTGGTCTCTACCAATCTCTGTTGCAATGTGGCCTCTACTTATCTGTTTGCAATGTGGTCTCTACCAATCTCTGTTGCAATGTGGCCTCTACCAATCTCTGTTGCAATGTGGCCTCTACTAATCTGTTTGCAATGTGGTCTCTACCAATCTCTGTTGCAATGTGGCCTCTACTTATCTGTTTGCAATGTGGTCTCTACCAATCTCTGTTGCAATGTGGCCTCTACTTATCTGTTTGCAATGTGGCCTCTACCAATCTCTGTTGCAATGTGGCCTCTACTAATCTGTTTGCAATGTGGTCTCTACCAATCTCTGTTGCAATGTGGCCTCTACTTATCTGTTTGCAATGTGGTCTCTACCAATCTCTGTTTGCAATGTTGTCTCTACCAATATGTTTGCAATGTGGCCTCTACCAATCTCTATGTTGCATTATGGCCTCTACTAATCTGTTTGCTGTGTGACCTCTACCAATATCTGTTTGCAGTGTGGCCCCTATCAATCTCTATGTTGCAATGTGGCCTCTGCCAATCTGTTTGGAATGTGGTCTCAGCCAATCTCTGTTTGCAATGTGGCCTCTACTAATCTCTGTAATGTGGCCTCTACCAATCTGTTTGCAATGTCGTCTCTACCAATCTCAAGCCCGCCTCCGTGGTCTAGTGGTAGAGCGTCCACCTGGGGAGCGGAAGATCAGGGGTTTGATGCCCAGGTGTGTCATACAAAACGGCGTTAAATGTGGTACTAGTTGTTACCCTGCCTGGTGCCCGGCATGAAGGGGGTAAAACAAGGACTGGTCGTCTCTACCAATCCAATCTCTAGGTTTGCAATCTCGCCTCCAACAATCACTTTGTATGTTGGATATGTCTCGTAGAAATATCTACGAAGAGTTGTCGCTGCAATCTCAATGTCATTAAATTCAGACCTTAATAGTTCTCGCTTCTGATAAACATAGTTCTGAGGAGATCCCATTACAAGTCACATCTTGATGACCTTTCGCAAACTTTGAGCGACCAATGAAATCACGAACAAAGAAGTCGAAATTAGCCAATCACTAGATTCAAACTGCCGACTTCCATTCCCTTTTTTCACGTTTTGAAAAATATTTTGACAAGCTATCGCTTCAAAATTTGAAAACTGAACAAAAGAGCATTGTGGCATGTCAAGAGGCCGAGATTGTTTGGCAGTATTTCCCAGGTCTATGCAACATCTCTTCGGTTCAAATGTTTATCCCATTGAAGTGAGAGATAGATGATGATTACCCCTTGTTAACGTTTTGGAGGTTGCATGTTTATAAAACACATTCCGACTGTCACCTTAATGATCTGGCAAGCGAGGCTCTGATTGGTCGGATGAAAGGTCGTTCTAATGTGATCCGTTATGAGATGTCCTCAGATCTTTGTTTGGCAGTAGCAGATCTGATTGTAATGAGATTAATTGCACCAATCTCCACCTGCCAGGAATATATATTTGTGTGTGCACAAGTAACATCGTAAAAGATGAAGAGTGAGTGAGTTGTGTTTAACGTCAGCTAATGTGGGAGGAAAGCCCGATGTGATGCAGGTTTCAGACGTTTACCACTTCGATGAAACCCACGAGCACGGGTATGGTGCCCGGTCGTCTACGGCGCCGCAATTGGCTGTTCAGAGTTGCATCCCTTGGGCACACCAGAAACCTAGGATATGGGGACGAATCCCGGTTCGCCCGGATTATGTTTCTAGGTTTGTCAGCACCATACCTGTGCCCCATTTCCAAGTTTGACCCATCAGTGACGATTTGAAATTATGTCCGATGCAATTCCCTATTTTGACTTGCACCATATTTTCCCGTGTTTGTTTATGTGTCTGTGACGGGTGCCATCGCTGGGTCAGGATACGCTCATCTTTTCGTGAATAGCTCGCATCATCACTTATTGCGTACAGCGGATTGCCTGTGATTATGGAAATGGTATTGTCGCTTTTATTCGGTACAAATTATGCTACATGCGTGACAACTTGTGTCATTCCAGGAAAAGCAGAAATACTGGACATGGGCGAGTGGTGAATAATGATTATTCGTACTCCTGTGCACACTTTGACCGTGAAGTTACCCGAGTACCAATCTCATTAAAATCAGATCTTAATTCTGGCTACTTGTTTTGCGGTAACGAGAACTAAAATCGGATTTAATGATATTGGTACTCGGGTAACTTCACAGTCAAAGTGTGACGTCATTATTCATTCCGTTGGACGTCAATGACGTCATGTCAATAAACATGCAGTCTCAGCAAAAGCATACTACGTGCAACTGGCAGAAAGGAATAAGCGTTACTATGACAATAGATCAGCAAACTCTCTTTCTGAAATAATGTACTGTTGGAGCATTTGATCTTGCCAGCTACCATTATAGAATCACGCATAAGTACGTCGGAGAAAATCTTCGCCAGCCTGCAACGAGTCCCATGTCTCAGCACCTGTCTCGAGATGGTAAGTGCATGTAGTTTCATGTCTTGATCCAGAATCGATTATTTACAGACCGCCGTCATATAGCTGGAATATTGGGCCTACCTTTAGAATACAGTACCACAAACTTTTCAAACACGTCACAATACCCTAGCTACGACGTAATTTGTCGTATTTTGTTGACAGTCACACCGGCGAATATTGCTGTCTATGGCGTAAACAAGCAAACAAACGAATATAAATGGACTAATTTCGCTGAATAATTAACCATGTACCGGTTAATGTCTGTTTCAGCCTGTCGGGAGTGGGCGGCAACCCCGATATTCACCACCTCTTCCGAGGAAAACATTCCCAGGACCCTAGTTGAGATTGATGTCCTTAATCAGTTTGAGACACGCCCCACGTCAGAGGCACCCGGGCTCACAAAAATCAGGAAGTTCTTCTGCGGGTTGAGCCGGATCTTCAACCCACAAAAACCCAAACCAAGAGCGACAGTCGACGAGCTCAGCTATGACTTGCCTGGTTGCAGTATATTGTAATGTCATGTTTATGTGCAATAATTGTCAAGTTCTTTTTTTTCTTTGGGGGGGGGGGGGGGGGGGGGGGGTTAAAATCTTCTTTCATATATGACATGTAGTTTGCCGGTCCCTTTGCCTGAGAATGCACAACTTCAGAAACTGCATATGATTGTGTGTTTGTTTGTTATTTAGTGCTGCACTCAGAAATATTCCGGATCTTAAGGAAGAAAAATGTAGAGCCAATTGAGGAGGATTTCGTTAAGTTAAAAAAGAAATTATAGTAACAGGTGATGAAACATGGGTCTACCACTATGACCCCCGAGTCAAAACGTCAATCAATGGAATGGCACATTCCACTCCTCCGGCACCAGAGAAATTCAAGTCTTCAAGATCAGTGAAGAAAGTTATGGCCACTGTATTCTGGGATGCAAAGGGTGTGATCCTTGTTGATTACTTAGAAAGTCAAAAGACGATTACCTGAGGCTACTATGCTGCTGTGCTTCATAGCCTGAGAGATTCTATCAAGAAAAGCTGCGAGGAATGCTGACTGCTGGAGTTCTAGTACTTCATGGCAATGCCTCTTCTCACACCTCTGGACTTGCAAAGGCTGCTGTGCGACAATGTGGGTTCGATCGAACAGCTTCCTCCTACACAGTCGTCAGACCTGTCACCGAGTGTTTGTTTGTTTTTAAATGGCGCACTCAGCAATATTCCAGCTGTATGATGGCGGTCTGTAAATAATGTTTTGAATAGTAGGAATTGAGTTGCGTCTTGACAGTCCAGTGATTCACATCATGAGCATCAATCCACGCAATTGGGATACGATGACATGCATCAACCAAGTCAGCAAGCCTGACCACCCTATCCCGTTAGTTGCCTCTTACGACAAAGTCGCCTTTTACGGCAAGTATGAGTTGCTGAAGACTTATGTTTTCCATAAGATCAGAATTCTGGAAACTTTGGCACCCTATGAGCAGATGACTTATTCATCTGTAAATGTTCATGAATAATAGCGTCATTGGATACATGGTTTATACCAGCAATGGTAATACGTCTATCTGACAGTATAAGTTTTGGTATCTCCTTGATTGAATCTTCATTGATGGAAGTTGAGGGACGTCCAGACCTAGGGTCATCATCAAGGCTTGTTCTTCCAGCCTTAAACATAGCTGCCCAGCGCTTAACCGTGGAATAGCTGGGGCACTTATCCCCATTAACTTGTGACATGGGACATGCGGTCATAAATTTCTTGGGGAGTACTTGTCTTTAAAGTAAAAAACAAGAGTCATCAGAAAGATGACATATCCCCCCCCCCCCCGGCAGCTGTCTGTAAAGTAACCACTAGTAAATGTGTAATTCTCTATGTAATGAGTCAACAGTTGAATGTTCTTTAAGAAGCATACATTGTTTACCCACTGAATGGTTTTCGAATTCTGGCCCGGAAATGAACCCGTTCCCCAATGGAGTCTAGGTCCAACTTCTTTCCATAAAAATTTAAAAAAATAAAAAGTCGTAAAAAAAATATAACCAAAATGCACCACTTCAAACCCCATCCCCAATTGAGTCTATGTCAAACTTCATTCCATAAAAATTTAAAAAAATTAAAATTAGAAAAATCCCCAAATATCAAAAGGCACCACTTCAGTATGTGCCTGATAGCTTTGCCAAGTTTCGATCAAATACACTGAATGGTTTTCGAATTCTGCCCCGGAAACGAACCCCATCCCCAATTGAGTCTATGTCTAACTTCATTCCATAAAAATTTAAAAAAATAAAAATTAGAAAAATCCCAAAATATCAAAAGGCACCACTTCAGTATTAGCCTGATAGATTTGCCAAGTTTCGATCAAATACACTGAATGGTTTTGGAATTCTGCCCCGGAAAAGGAATGATTACGGACTGACAGACAGACTGGCTGATCGCTACATCCCCCCGCATGATATGCCGGGGGGATAAAAATTGATGACTGCTCAGTAATCGTTCTTTTCCTTATTGTGTACATTTGGACCCCTAGCACTTTCAACTGACCGTCACTAATATAGTGAGTGAGTTGGGTATAACGCCGCTTTTAACAGTATTCCAGTTATATCACCTCTCGTCAGCTTTATGTGGGAGGAAAGCCCGAAGTGATGCAGATCTCAGACGTTTACCACTATGGTGAAACCCACGAGCACAGGTATGGTGCTGACAAACCTAGAAACATAGTTGGGACGAACCGGGAATCGAACCCACAATCATAGGTTTCTGAAGTGCCCAAGGGACGCAACTCTGCACAGCGAATCGCGGCGCCTTACACGACTGGGCCACCGGTGCCCCCCACTAACATATAAACATCCTCAACAGACCAAATACACTTGCAATGAACTTCTCAAACAATGTACTACATTGACTAGTTCACTTTATGGCCCATAGTTGAAAGTTATTCAGACTTAGAACTTTTGACCATCCCTTGTATAATCAAGATTTGATATATAATATCCTTGAGATTTCTCAATGTTTGCATGTTCAAAAACAAAATGTGGTGGTCCCGATGACAAAATTCCCTCTCCAGTTGTATGGAGTGACAGAGGAGTTGGGTTAACCCCACTTTGAATAGCTTTCCAGTTATATCAGGTTGTGTGAGCTTAGTGTTGCGGGCAAACCCAAAAGTGATGCTTTGTTTGTTTGTTGTTTAACACCACACTCAGCAATATGCCAGCCATATGATGGCGGTCTGTAAATAATCAAGTCGGGACCAGACAATCCAGTGACTGACATCATGATCATTGATCCACGCAATTGAGATACGGTGACGTGCATCAACCAAGTCAGCAACAAGCTCAGTCGCCTTGTACGGCAAGCATGGGTTGCTGAAACCAAAGTGATGCAGTTCTCAGACGTTTACCATATAGGTGAAATCGTTGTAGGGACCTGACACACAGAAACATAATAAGGACCAACCAAGATTCAAACAAACAATCAGAGGTTTCCCATGTGCCCTAAAGGGGCACAGCAAATTGCAGCAGCTCAGAAGACTGTAGACAAACATTCTTTTAACAAACTTCAAGATGATCTCATGGATGAAGAACAAAGTAACCCTTTTACGAGAGCATGATGATTTTAATAAATGTATTTTTTATATTAAGCAAAGATCTGTACAAGCTGTCCTATGATGAATGAATTATACATCAGACACTGTGTCACATATAATAAGTACACAAGCTGGTCTCAGCTGGAGGGGAGGTACTACATGGTACATCCGTACACATCACACATTATGATCACTGATAATATGCAGGGGCTATTACACAGAGGAGCTCTTTCTGGCATCTCAACACTGTCTACAGGCAGCATTCCTACAGCTTCAATAACTGGTCCATATCCTGATCTGAATCACTCCACATGGCCACACTGTCATTCAGTTGGGATACATTTCTGACAAGACATTATTGTAGAGAGTAGGGCTGGGACGAGTCCAAATATACTTCACGGGAACCCACCCCCCTATTACCCGACCCTACCCGGGTACCCACTGTCAACCTCAAGAGATAGGTACAAAATGTCCGATTGGGATTTTTTTAATCATACCCCTGGCAAAACGTATTTAGACACATGTATTAAACAATCTGGTCATGCAAACACTGAACTTGACTTAAGTTATATCTTTATTCAACCATATTAAAAGTCAGAAGGAATGGGTGCATAAGTTTTGTCATTAAACAATATATCACATGACTAACCACAGGTCCGGGTAGTCCTGTGGGTACCCGAGTTACCCGTCCCAGCCCTAGTAGATGTCATTTGTTCATTGCATCTATTACAGATATTGTGAAGATTTTTGTCCAATCAGTTCAGTGTTGAGATGCCAGCTTAGGCTAGGTAACAGGTCCGTCATGGACCAACAGTGGACATTTCATCTGGACCTTGGGTGACCACCTCACAAATGTAAGAGTTGTTATGCAATCAGTGACACTGTGCACACAATGGAGATGCCTCATTATGATCCTCTGAATGTATCGTCAAGACAGCATGGCTAATGTGGAGTAACCTGTACAGCTGGAATTCCCTTGTCCAGCATGAACCTGGGTATAATCTAAAGGCCCAGATGAAAGTGACCAGACTCAACACATACAGTCATATATACAAACAAAACGTGTACAAGCAACAGCAACAGCTCTCAGTCTCGCAGCAAGGACATCGACAACACCCGCTTGCAGTACTCTGAGATCTCTACAGCAACACCTCAACACATCTATCAAAATGGACAACCTCATGTGACAAGAAGGTGAAGTTTGTGTTGAATAAAATTAGCGAAAATTGGTTATGATTTTATACACAGTTTCATGGATCACATAAATTTGCAACAACAGGATCATAAGGACTGGACTGAGACAAGGTGATATGTTTCACACCCCCTCCATCTTCTGTCAAATATATCTTCACACACACTGAGAACTATTGTTTAGTCACGAATCATTTACATCTGGAAAATCTTCAAAAGCTATCAAAGTGTACAACATGATGGCTGTGTGGCAGACTTCTGTTGGTAATGTACTCAACTGGGGTTCTTGACCACTCGCAAAGTTAAAGACTGTTCTCACATTCAAACATATATTTCTTCCCAAATGTTCTTTAAGGATTTTGTTTAACATTTTTTAAACTCATCAACAATAATTCGGCTATTAAGTTTTCAGAAGCTGCCCTCCACATAACTTACAAACTTATAGTAACCCAAGTTACTGAATCCAGAATGAGGTTTACTACACTGCACATGGAAATGGTAGTCAAAGCTAAACAGAGTTGCATGGCCTTTCACAGAAGCCAAATTGGGTTACAAGATCTGAGAAAAATGATGCATGTTAAAGTTTAAATAAAATAATCACCTATGAAATATCATTGTGCAAATGTTGAATAAGAATTAAAGCATAATATTCCGACAGATTACATATTTTACAAAGATAGCTAAAAAATTCTTAGTGAGATTATTGGCAGGATAATCCATGCAATGATTGCAAAGTAATGGTCCAAAATGCAGCTTTAATATGCCTAGTGTAAACCAATAACGAAATACAGAACAATTGAGCAATCCTTTGACACAATTAGTAAGAACGTCCATGCAAGGTTCAGTTTCATTGGTTCAGTGGTTTTAGTTGGGAGATGTGAAGTACATAACTGTTGATGGAGGGAAGGACTGACGCCAGGCCACTAACAATAACCCAGCTGTCGTCAACAAGTTGAGCCAATAACTAATAATACAATTACACAATGTGGTATGGGAAATATACATGGCTATTCATATGCGGCAGATTGACTAGTTTGTACAAAGTTGGGAGAATCTTAGAAAGTGTCACATGGTTAGTCTGTGGACCTCATGTATCTTGAATCTTTTATTCTGAACAAATGATTACAATTACAATATTTCATATTTTGTGAGTCCAGGAACTTGTAAATAAAGATGATAATGATGTTAACATTAACCTCACCATTGATGCAACGAAGATGAAGTATTCTAAACAAAGAACAAGACTTAGTTGACTTCATAGTTTGTTCTTTGATAAAGCTTGCTACAGAAATGATACTTTGTCTTAAATTAAAAAGTTCAGCATGAAATATGTAACTAATTTGACATTTTTGGAACACTTACAATTTCTTTTCTGACAATTTTTTTTAGCCATTCTTGTGGCCTAAAAAGAGTCGTTATCACACCTTGTATTTCGCTTAGTTTTCTTTGGACTAACATTATGACAGAAATGGTGATGAATGGTGGTAAAATAAGAGAGTGATGTGATGAATGCTGATACAATAAAAACACAGGAAAATAGAACATAAAAAATGTTATGAATCTACTGGCATGTGAACTTTTTATAGTTAAAATCAATTGTGTGACGACAAAATTCAGCAAAAAGTGTATACGAAGAGATATTTTGGCACACATCCTCATCAAATATGTTACGTAGCACTGAGAACAATCTTTCATTGGATGTCCTCCCAACAGGTGGTTCATCACTTCTTTCAAAATTCACAAACTACAGTCACAGACATAGTTAAAACATGGCATAGTGTTAAGAAAAGACGCAAGATTTAATTCTTTCTGTTTCAAGAGGTAAACAAAGAGCACAATGTCCCATGCCCCTTGTTTCCCCCAGCAGCTGAGATACAAACCCTAGGGACTGTTAGACTAAAGTGCCGCGGTCATGATTTCTCTTGCCTGAAATGACAATACAACGAGCAGGATTACCATCGGTTATGGGGGACAGTACTAAACCACTGGAGTCTCTCAAGTCATACTGATGAGTGCCGACTTATTATCATAAAATCAAATCCTTGCGTAATAAAATGACAGAAGTACTAAACGGAGAACCCCCATCCATCTAAATGATTTGAATATGTTTAAAAATAATGATAAAATATGCACTGGTCAACATGTTGACTTGAGATGCTCTTGATGGAATGATAAGAACATGAGTATGTGAGTGATTATATCATCACAGACACTAGCTTTGTACAAATATTAATTTCTTTAAAAAGAAGAGTCCAAAGTAGCTACTTTATGCAATGCTAGGGAACATCAATAAACAACCAATAAATTGATTATCTGTTAATTAAAACAGCTTCCTTTTTTTCTTAGTCAAAATGAGCATATTTGGCTTCAAATTTATCTCCTGGGCAAAAAGGCTCACAACCAAGGTTATAAAAAGTGAGAAAGCCCAAGTGATTGATTGACCCCAAGGGATTGATTGACCCCAAGTGATTGATAGACCCCAAGGGATTGCTTGGCCCCAAGGGATTGATTGACCCCAATGGATTGACTGAGTATGGTTTTACGCCACTTTTAGCAATATTCCAGCAATATCATGACGGGGGACACCAGAAATTGGAATCGAACAGCGTGGTGAGCGAATGCTTAAACCACTAGGCTACCCCACCACCCCTTTGATACTAAGTGCTTTATCAAGGTATTGCATTGTAAGCCTTACCCAGGGATGAAAGTACAAAAGGCAAAATTGCAGCTATTCCATGAGGAATTTGCTTTAAAAACATCCAGTAACCAATAACCTTCACCAAAATTAAGCATTTTGTTGTTTTAAAATAAGTCTTTGCAGTACTTTTTTTGTGAAATGAAATAAAATCTCACTTTCTAAAAATTGATTCACATCAGGCAAAATCTAATGTCTGTGATGAACTACTTAACAGAAGAGCAAACATTTTCAAAAGTCGAAACTTTAAATTTCCATTTATTTTGTGTACCACATTATCTCAAAAAGCCTGTTGATCATTGTGCAGCATGTTTGCTCTGTCTATTGTCATGACTAGATGGCATGAGATGACATGCATTGACATGACATAGCCCTGCTGTATACCTTGATGGGCTGCCTATACCTTGCACTAGCTGTTGGCATGCACAAGTCTACTACAACAAGTACACATGCAGCGGATCCTACATATGCAACATAAATAACTGGTGTAAAATTTTATTATTGATATGTAGTTGCTATTTTGAATAAGTATACGATTATTTCCTTAGAAAATACTTCAAGTTTTGAAAATACATGAACGGACTCTTGGATCCGAATATATGACATTGCAATGTTCTTCCATGTCAATATCAATGAACAATCTTTTTCGTTAGTACCAAAATAGATTCAGTAGGCAAGTCACAACCAGACAGACCACAACAGACAAAATGTACAAGCAGATATAAAACACATTATCACATGGTACGTATCACACAGTGAGAGAAGCATATGTAACACAAAGGCCTCACACAACATCGCTCTCAGAAACACAAGTAACACAGAATAGGACAAGCGAGTCCAAGTTTAGTGAGATAAATTAAATTATGAAATAGATATCTGACAAAGTCTCATGCTGCCATGCATATATTAACTTTATGAGAACATTGTGTGACAGTAACTCACTCACTCATCTACCCCTGAATAAACACATACAGATTAGCAACTAAAACAAGGAGGAGCTGGTCAACAGCAGCTCATCAAACAGCTCAAGGAGATTTAGTAAACAACTGATAATAACAAGTCAATGTGCTCTGTATTTGGAATCAAGGCTTTCACATTTTGTGGAAAGAGTTTGTCAAATGCAAATCTAAAACAGAATGTTCTCAGTCACAAAATGTTCTCGTACAAATGTAACTTTGAGGCAGTAAGATACAAGTTTGTCTCCCCTGAACTTACTTTTTCTTGTCATGGATTCTTCCCCATGTCAAGAGAAATCATACACTTGTCTGGAACAGATTCTGTTCATAAAATTATGCAAGTCTCCTATAGCGCTTGCCCAACAGCATAATCGAAAGACACTGTTCCAAACTACTCTAACAGTTCCATATTCTTAATTTCCAGCTACATTGCAGAACGGGTATTTAACTGTTTGGGGATACTTTGCTGAAGAAAGCTAACAACAGGGATTTGTACCCCTTTTTATCAAACTTTGTCAGTAACTGCACAAGTAATTTCAAGGGAGAGACAACCTCACTTTGAGTTAGTGAAAGCAATTAAATTATTACTCAAGTACCTTAACCATTTTAGTAATTATATTAGATACATGTACACAATTATTTGTCATTTTAGGAAAGAGTAACCATTAAATAATTATCCTTTTCTTTCCACTGAAACTGGAACTTGTACTGACAATATTCATTATAAAATACCAAACTATATTATCATCAAAATGATGAAAACAACAAGAAATAAGAGTTTGGCAGTCATAGACTGAACAGTTGTACATCCAATGCTCATGTTCATTGTTTGTTTCCTAAACGTACTTGTTTGAGGTAAAACAAACCCCACTATGTTGCTATACCATACAATATGTATCTCAACATCCAGATGTTCAAACTGAAGTGGCATGGCTGCAGTTTCACCACACAAGCTAACTCTAATATTTAATTCCACTCATGACCCACACAGCACACAATATGTAACAGGTTATCCACAGGTTTCATTCGGTTTTCAAGTCATCCATGAAAGCAAAGAGTGTAATGGTTGGATCAGCAACCATGAATAATCTGCAAGTATATTTTGCTGTCTCCAAGGTGTTTGTTACTTCAGCCAACATGTGAGCTTGTGATTTGCTGCTAGGATGCGTAGACTAGATATTGCATCTATATAATAAGTGAAGCATCACTGGAAGGACGGCTGCACAAATCATGTGTTATTAATAAGTAACATTGTTAATAAAGTGACACTGATGCAAACTCCCCTATTTCACTGGTCCGAAGACCACCAGAACCATTGGGGTTCCATCGCATGAATTCTTCACAATATTGCACTAAATTTTATTGTTTGACATATACTAGAATCTGTCTTTAATTGCATCTTTACTTCTGATGATATTTAGGATGGTGAGACCTAAGATGATGGGGTATCAGTGTCTGACTGAACCATGTTCAATATTTAGTCCACAGCTCACACTGACAGAACCTGAAAACATCAGTACTAGTTCATGGCTATCATCCTACTGATCATCATCATCACAAGGCTAACAGCAGAGTGTACTGACAACACTGATGTGCATAAGCTTTTTACCATATCTCAACCTAAACATGGCACCTGCCATCTGGGCCGTTTCATGTAACAATCTCAGCTCTATAAATTGTAAAGTCTATGTTAAAGTATAGGAGTTCAGAGTCATAGGGCTAAGATCGTTTGTGAAACAAGGCCCTGATCACCATAGTGATTTTTGCATGTGCACATAATGTCCAGCACACTGTCAGATTTAGATTATGGTACTGACACAGAGTGTCAGGGTGATAGTCCATATCACACTACACTGTGAAGTTAGCTGTAGTTGTGCTGTTGAACATAAAGCTACGAGGTAAAAGCTGTTTGTACATTGTTTGTGCGGAAATATTTACAATATGAGTTCTATAAAGTCTACAGTAAGCTCTGCTGGAGCAGTATACACAAGCTATTTACAATGCTAGTGTATGATACATATGTATACATAGATGTGATTATATATCTGTATACTGACACAACCTTGCATGCCTACCAGTCAACACTAGTCCTGGGGAGTTTCTTCTGGACAAAAGAAAACAAAACTTTCGATAAAATCCATGTATCACACGCATGTACCATTTATGTGCAGACTGAACTTGTGTTGATGTTATGAATACCCATTGCTTGCATGATAGCACCATGAAATGCATTGTATACAGGTGTTTGTTATTCCATCCCATTACCAGGCAAGAACTGTCCAAGCCTTTAATAAAGCACCGATATCCTTATAATAGATCTTAATAATAAGTCTGAACCCAAACTCAGGATTCAACCTTGTTTAGGTTCTGTGGCAATGCCAACTCAGCAAGGTGTCTTGATAACAGAAACTTCTCACAATGTAATACTGACAAACTACACGAATCTTACGCAAAAATATACAAATCATATATAAAAATATCACGAAAAGATTGTTCATTTTAAAATTGCACACCATAAACAGCAAAGTCCCAGGCATATTGTACAGTAATGAACTACACTTACAACACAGAGATAACAATTATAACATCAAGTATCATAAGTCATGAGCAACGAGAAAGACTAATGAACATATCCACAGCTTATACCTTGGTCTCTACTGATGTTGATAATATATTACATGTAGTTGGAACAGTGATGTTTGGCTGTTGTACCGCATGAGGTATGTTAACTACAATTTGATACCTGTAAATGCTGGTTTTGGAAAGCTGCTTAAGCAATGCTAGAAACCTTTCAGTAGTCTGTGTAAGAGATGTCACATTAAATATTTCAGACATGGATTTTATCTCCATACACTGACATTAAGCTGCCAAGCTGCATTATGGAGATAAAAGGATTGGGGCATCAAGAAACTAAGAAATTGCGTAGTTTTAGCTAGCACTAGTGATTGTGATCATTGTGACATCGTTCACACATACACTGAAATGTTAAGTAGAACTCAAGAGAGATAGAGAGATAGAGAGATAGAGAGATAGAGAGAGAGAGATGAGGGACGTGTAAGTTGTTCTGATCACAAATAGCCCGCCGTAGCAGATAGACATTTACCCAATTAGCATGCAAATAACAGAGGTAAAATAGCAAATAGTTAGTCACTGGCCAATCACAGATGTGTTTCCTCAGTAGCCTTGTTGATTGGCGGGGGAGGAGGAGGAGGAGTGGGGCGTGTAACTCTCATATTTTGCGAGGAGCCCGACTTGATATGGCTGTTGGAAGTAGCATGCTTATCAGACGAAGGTGAAAGAAGCGGGGTGATGCCCTGCTCAGTTAGTGTCGACCCTGAATCCTTCTCTAGGCTTTCCTGAGATGAAAACAATGTACCTGTCCCTTGTCCATTGGCTGCTCCTGGCATACCAACTACTGTAAACATGGCGCCAGTTGATGCTGACCTCTGGTGGCCAGGGGGGACAACTGGAGGTGGAGCTTTGGGTCTCTCTGGAGGGGGTCCTGCTGGCCGGTCTGGGGGTGGTCCTGTGGGACGTTCAGGGTGGGGGTGGAGCTGATGAGGGGGTGGGGGTTTCTCTGGGGGACAGGGTCTGACTCTTTCATTGTCTTCTTTGTCTGACTCTGAAGGTGATTCGGGTGAGGCCAAGGGGGCATTTCTAGGCCATGTTTGTGACTGTGTCTGTGACTGACTGTTGCGATTGTTGTATGTGGCCGTCACTGCCACGGCGTATGGAGGGGGCGGGGCTGGCTTCCGGCTGACTCGACGTTGAACCTTGGGGCTGGATCCGAGTTCCGGGCTGCAAATTAAACCGGGTGATACACATGCATGGTGAATTGTGAAGGCAATTAGCAACATTCAATCAGAAAAGGTGCCTAGATTCATCATAACAGTGGGTTACTATTTTCATAACTATTTCATTATACATACTAGTTGTTGAGTGTTCATTCACATTCTGTGAAAGAGTAATCAAAATACTAATCATTACATCAACCATTTATCCTTTTCTAAAAGATTCTGACAAGTATCTGCATCCCTTAAATATAAATTATCCAAGACGAGGTACCCCTGGTGTAGTGTGTGTTACCTCTGGTGTAGTGTGTGGGTTACCCAAGGTGTAGTGTGTGTGTTACCCAAGGTGTAGTGTGTATGTTACCCCAGGTGAATGTGTGGGTTACCTCTGGTGTAGTGTGTGGGTTACCCAAGGTGTAGTGTGTGTGTGTTACCCCAGGTGTAGTGTGTGTGTTACCCCAGGTGTAGTGTGTGTGATACCCAAAGTGTAGTGTGTGGGATACCCAGGTGTAGTGTGTGTGTTACCCCAGGTGTGGTGTGTGGGTTACCTCTGATGTAGTGTGTGTGTGTTACCCAAGGTGTAGTGTGTGGGTTACCCCAGGTGTAATGTGTTTACCCAAGGTGCAATGTGTGGGATACCCCAGGTGTAGTGTGTGTGTTACCACTTGTGTAGTGTGCGGGTTACCCCAGGTGTAGTGTGTGGGTTACCCCAGGTGTAGTGTGTGGGTTACCCCAGCTGTAGTGTGTGAGCTACCCCTGGTGTAGTGTGTGGGTGTTCTATCAGTGATACACTGCTCTGTACACCCTTGGACAATACTGTAGTGACCCCTAGGTTGACACTAATGATCTGTACAGGGAATCCATTCCTAACTTGAGTAGCAGTGTACTTGTGTATCAAGCCTTGTGAAAGTAAGAGAAATACAGCAAAGCCAGCAAGCATGTGTTTGGAGGGTGGGATCAAACATGGTTCAAGTCAAACAAGTAGAGCAGACAACAGGCAATAGCCAACTTGGTGGCAGAACAAACACAAGTTCCACATGCTTATACAACTCATCTGAGACGTAGGATTGTTAAATTCATTATTACGCCAAAGAGAATTCACACCAATTAGTAATCCATAAAACTCTCTGCTGAAATAGAGAAACTCTCCAAATTTGCTCCGTTTGCTTTCAAATCTCCCTGAAATCTAAATTTAGGGGACAACTTTGAGTTGACACTATGTATCTAACTCTACATGTTGCAGTACCTCTCGGCAGAGGTGGCCGTCAGACTACTGGTAGAGCTCGCGTTGCTTCCATTACCCCCGCCCTGGGGGGACGATCCCCCTAATAGAGATGACCCCTGAGGAGCTGTAGTAGGTGATGGGAGTAGCTGGATTGTCTCCCCTTGACCACCTGGGGAGGGAGGACCAGCAGAGGGAGCTACTGCATTGCCAAATCGTTGCTGGGGACTGGTCGCTTGTAGAGGAAGACCTCCCGTATTGGTAAAGTCTAGTTCTGGAAAAGCAACACACAAGCATTGGAGGTTAAGAGTGGTGGGAGGCTGAGGCAGGTTCTCACACTCACCACCCGTGCATCTTGAACAGTCAACAGGACTTGGGACAATTACTCCTCTCACATGTGTTGGGAACATGGGTCACATCATAGCTGTCTTACTTTAGTGATAATTAATACTAATCATGGAAGACAATGCCTTGCTAGAAATCTACACCGGAAAATTAGAGATCAATATTTAGAATATTAGGAAATAGTCATTAATGTTTTTGTCAGAAAATAAATCGAATTGAAGACAATTAGTGAAGGGATGTAGGTATCTAATATAAAGGAAAGATCTGACTATAATGAACTGGAACTGATATACGGATCTAGAAAATGGTGAAGGGGATCAAGGCATGGATCAGGATGAAAAGAAAATCAGAAATGAAAAAGGGTCCAACTGTCAAGATGCAAAAGTGTATACGAAACAAACCAAAACATAGGCTGACAGTACAACACATACACACTCAGGGCTGTTGAATGAGTAGGCATTCACTGCTAACTACAAGTGAAATAAAGAGTCACGTCCACATTGACACTGATCACACTACAGACTACCAGTACTACTGTGCTGCAGGCTTGAGTCAACACAATCCTACACAGCAATGCCGATATCAACATTACGCCAGTGAAACTACACGTTAGATGAGACTTGGTTTACATATTCTGCCAACCTTAACCAGTGAAAAAGTGGGCCAAAAATGAAATCTAAAAAGCAGTATTTTTATGCTCTGCCATATGTAGACGGTGTGTACAGCACACAAAATTGACCTACAAACAGTTAAAAGGCAAACCTAATGAGACAAGCGTAACTAACACTACTCACATGGCTCCATATTCAGACAACATTTTGAAGAACAATGACACAATCCTGAAATGTCATTATTTTATTCTTTCCCCAACACCACTAGAAACCAAGATTTTTAACCAAAATCTGAATACCATGATATAAAAAAACAAACAGGCCTTTAAGCGTCTGATTTATATCTCCGTCAACACACTATCACATGGCTATGTTGATACCGCCATTATTCCACTACAGACTACGAGAGAGGTAGGTCATGTATAGACATCTAATACTTGAACTGGTGTGATGCAGTGCCAACGTCAGCTAATTATCATATAACAATGTTGATAAGATTGATTCACATTCGTGTCACATTGAAATATCAACATTTGTGATACAGGTCTATATCACATAACTATGCCGATATCAACATGTGATGAGGGTGTCTGTCACACTTTATCACACAACAGCGCTGGTGTCAACGTTTGATGCTCGTCTGTGACATGACATCATTATGCATTGTGTTATGTCAGCACCTGCGACTTAAATGTCAGTCTTTCACATTAAAGTCAACAGAATCACTTAAGATGGCTCTTTGAACTAGGATCTTTCTTAAATCAATTATATTTTTCTAATGAATAGTAATAATGTATTGTAATAGCATTATGTGTATTACAGACGAAGATAAATATGTCAAGCAAACACATATCAAGATCACAACATCTGAAAATAAAGCCTTAATTCTCAACATATTCAAAACACTATTGTGAAAGCATAATGCAAAACATGATGAAATACAGTTGATGAACACACTCAGGAACACTAGCTGCAAGACTCTATCCACAAAGCATTTATATCATATTAAACTATAGAGTTACGATAATCCTAAGTGTAGGAACGTTTGTGGATCAGGGCGTTGGACCAAACTCAGTGTTTAAATTTTGATAACAGAAAATTACTTTGCATCTGATCAAGCACTGAATATATATGATGACACAGATACCATAACATGGTGATGAATACTGTTGTCATGGGAACTGATTGTCTGAGACACTGTCTGTAGTTCCAACAGCAACACTGAAACCAGGTGAACCACAATGCCAGTGGAGAGGTGTTAGTTTCAATTTTGGTGCACTTCTCTTCAAATATATTCAACATATATAATTTAACCTGCATAATTAGATCATTTCAAATACACAAGTAAAGTGTATCTGAACAACGTTAGGGCTTGCAAGAGCATCTGAGATTTAAGTTTTTTAGATACATGTCTTGAACAGACAGATTGGTTGCATAAACTATTATTAGGATGTATATAACAAGCCGTAATGCAGTGTATAGAACTCTGAGTTTAGAAGTCAACAGAAATTTAACACCTAGTGACATCAGAAGTATTTATGCTTCTAATTGTTTTATCACCATGTGCTAGGTATTTGAGGACTCCGACAATGGATACTGCGCTCTCTCAGCGCTCTATAGACAGTTTAACTAAAGCTCAGTGTAGAAGAAACGAAATCACATCTGAAATGTTTGATTTACTGCCCCGAATGCTTTATACACTACTGAGAATTTAGAAGCCTCCACACTAACAGGCTGACTAGATAGTTCGTGACTTTCTATGGTCTTCTAGAGTGAGTGAGCATAATTTTATACTGCTATAGCAATATTGCAGAATATCATGGCGGGTGAAACCAGAAATGAGCTTCACATATTGTACCCAAATTGAAAATTGAACCCGTCCATTCGGCGCAATGAGTGAATGCTTTAACCACTAGGTTACCCCACCACCCTATGGTCTTCTAGGGGTATCATTATTCTGAGTTAAAGATCTGAATCTAATAAAGTTAAATATATTCCAATATAAATATCACTGCACAAGCAGTTTAAATGAAAGACAGCTGTCACTGAAGGCATATATATTACAAGATCAACCCTGGCAATATGTGAACACAGACTTGTGATCGAATACTATCAGCTACAACTATTAGACTCTCCATAGGCATTGAGTGAACCCCTGTGTTCTTGTGGATTAGAAATGAAGGACAACAAGCAGAAGCAACTGAAATCTGAAACAATCCACCAAACTGAAAATGGAAATGAAGAGTAAAACATGACCTAAATCAGGCAAGTGTTATGCATATGTGTAGAACCAGTGTTTGTCTATGGGTCAGTGACATGTACATGACTAAACTACTTGTGAGAAACAAATCTAGAAAGATTTGCAAGCAGCTGAGTTTGTATGATTCATAAAAGCTGGAATTGAGAAAAAGCAGGTTGGTAACAATGTTAAAACTGGCTTTTGTGGAAGCTCACTAAGTCACTGATAACAAGTGCGTATAAACATCATTTTTGTGAAAATCACATTAACATGTTTAGGTCAATAGCTCTCTGAGGCAACTAAGTTAAGAACTCAGACATCTATCAATTAACAGCATAAGAAAAGCAGCATTAAGTGTGTCTGTGTATAGACAGTGTGATAGTTATAGGAGATGTGCAGTGAAGATAAATGACTGAGGAAGTCAGTCTTGCATAAAGGAGAGCCAGGATCAAACATGGCTATTTCTCATGACATGTCAAAACCAATATATTGGTATGAGAAACAATTATATTTTCACCAACTTCGTAGACAGCCTATATTCTCTATGGACTATCGACATGTTACTCCATATCATAGGATAAACCTATCCCCACATGATGAAGTTGGTGGCCTATCCTGGATGGTCAAGTTCATGAGGACCTTGATCAGTGGTTCTCTTAACTTGGTTCAGCCAATCGTGGACCGTCTTCCATTAAGAGTAGTATTGACAGTAACAGAAGCAAACAGTTCCTGGGCTAATTCAGGGGAGATAACTCATGACTCAACACATCCATCACCATAAATAGATCTGTGTTCTGCCCATCCACTATGTAAGTCTGGATTAGTGAAAAAGGAATTAGTAAAGTATTGGCAACAGCATCTAAGATGTAAAAAGCGATTTCGAAAATTTCTACGAAATAAAACAAAATATAAAAGAAAAGAAATCTATAAAATGATCTAAATTGAAATAAAACAAAATGGAATTTTGTAACCTTGTATTGGACTTTGTTCTGGAGGTGTCCTGTCATTCAAACCTACAAGGGGAATATTCCACATCAAAGAAACAGAGGTGAAATAAACACATGCCTTAACTGCAACTCAGCCTGAGAGTGTCTATACTTAATTTGCAGTTCACAAACTACAAAGACTTCTCTCAGCCAATGTTGATGAATAGTTCAAACCTAGATCCTCGATTCAAACATTTGTCATGTTCTTATTTTCTGCTTTATCAATGACACTATAAACAATGTATGTTTTTGCTTCCAACCATCAATTAGAAATGCCCAATAAAACATAAACCCATTAAAAATGTTACATTTCTTAATCTATGTAAATATATATTCCTTCTTTTATAAATTCTGATTATCCATTCCCAAGATGCTTCAAAATCACATCAATCATCTATACCTTATGAATGTCCAATATGAGTAAGAAAAAAAGAAAAATGTCCATTATGTAATAAAGAACATAACCAAAGAAACTGAAGACTTTATTTCTGCAAGTACAGAGACGATCTCTCCATGCATGAAGTCCCAACTCCCATGCTTCTAGTGTCAAAGTGGCGCCCTCAACCAGGGAAGCTGACATGCGATTTGAATGGTCCAGACTTGTGAGGGCAGGTGGGCAGTCACAGCAGTTGGCACATGCAGTTGCCAGTTATGGAGAGATGGAAAGCTGGAAACGTTGCCCCAAAGCAGAGAGAGCCGAGCGACCATGTGTGAAGCAAACAGAGGGGAAGCAGGCAGAGTCTTACACCAATCAGAAGCTACGACAGTGATCAGAGGGTACATGTGACTTCCTACGAGAAATCTCATTGGTTAGTTGGAGTGTCATCATGGTGGTGGAAGACCAGTAGGCAGAGTTAGTGCAACTGCTAACTGCGCTCTGGTTCTGAAAGGTGTCCTAAAGACATACTTATGTCTAATATGTTCTGACCTTGACCTCTGTGGCTTGGTTGACCTCCTGCGACCCCACTGCTGGCTCCTGCAAGGTCAGTCGGTCGAGGGGATGCTGGATGCTGTGTATACTGCCCATCCCACATTGCACGCACTTTAGTAAGATAATCATTCCATGCTCCGTCGCCAAGAGACTGGAGTGCAAACACAGTGCTGTATACGTCTGAATGAAAGCTCTTAGTCACAGGCGTAGGTGGAACAGAGCTCGAACGTGCGTTGTACAGTACATCAGACTGGTTAGAGCCTAGAAGGGGGTTAGTAGTGGTGAGTGTAGACGAGCTGTTAATGCGACCTTTAGATGCAAGAGTCCTGTCACCTTGGCTAAGCCTGGCAGCCACGTTGGCGCCATCACCCTCCACACTAGGCCGAGCACTCTCTGACTTGTCCTGTGCCATTTGGCCACATGTTTCAGTCAGCTGGAGAAGTGTCTTGCATTCCGAATGGTTGGCCACAATGGTAGAGGTCATGGCCTCACTGTGAGAAACACACGCTGGTGCTACAACGTTCAGTTTAGGGAAAGCACCTACATCAATTCCACTTTGCAGTTTCAAATGCGATGGCTGGCTCCCGCGACTGGTCAAATGAAAGTCAAGATCTGTGCCATAGCAAGAAGGAAATTAAAGACTTTTTCTCAGCTTATGTTTACTGCTTTTTCAAAGGAAAATAAATGTGCATTTAAAAAGTTTATACACCAATCAGAAATCTGGCTGTATATTAGAAAGGGTAAAAGGCAAATATTTTATAGAATCATTAATCTACTTGTTTCCATTTCAGATGTAAGGTATCCAGCTGTGACCTAAATATATATAAGGGATTAAGAAAGACTTGCATTTTCAATTGCTAGTTTACTAACATTTCCACCAAAGACAACACCACTGACAATATAGTGCTGAAGAAATCTGCGCAGACTGGAGAAACAGAGAGAAGATTATAAACAGACAATACGCACCTCTCTATACATCTACTATCAGCTATAATGATGGCAGGTCAAACAAAGTCGGGACATACGACTCATAATGTACATACTATAAAACACGGATAAGTTAAGCCTGTCTCATACCTCCAGGGAAGAAGTAGTCGGCATGCATCACAAACGCCTCTATTATAGAACTCAGCGTCCCGGTTGTCAGCATGTTGGGGCTGAAAGTCACATACAAAAACATCTTAAAAAATCTAATGCACATAATATTTGTTTGTTTCTATTTCATTTGTCTGTCTCGTTAATTATTACCAAATGGCAACTAATAGGCTTAAAGAAATAAAAGAATTGGTTCTCAGGCAATGACTTTTGAAAATATAGTGAGGGCGGTGTTGTTGTTTTTTTGCCTGTTTAAACTAGTACATGACTTAGGGGCACAGTTCTGCTATGTGTACTGCAGTAACAAAGACAACTGTGCCACCTGTGCCCCTAATGGGAGACTGAACTAGATCATGAAAAGAAAAGTATTGCATGTCTAAGCAGGGATAAGGCAATCTGTCAACCCTATATTCACCAGATAGGATATACATGTCTGTCAGCCCTATATTCACCAGATATGATATGCATGTCTGTCAGCCTTATATTCACCAGATAGGATATGCATGTCTGTCAGACCTATATTCACCAGATAGGATATGCATGTCTGTCAGCCCTTTATTCACCACATGGGTGGCACGTGGTCCTGTGCACAGCGCACAGATCACAAATCAGGTGAAGTTAAGCAAAGTTGGTCTCGGAGAGTAGTTGGATGGGTGACCACGTTCAGCAGCTTCACTCCTGAGAGTGAAAATGTGCCTCTGTTCACCCAGCAGTGAGTGGGTACCCGGTAGGCTGTTAAACTTCTAGCGCCTCAAAGGCAGCTTGGGTTGTATACTCCCCAGGGAGCTGAGAATGAAAATCAAGTGCTCACTGATCCATTAACCGGGGTAATAATAGTGTAGCGCTATGAGCATCCACTTGGTGAATGGAATCTGGCGCATTATAAATGCACTTTTTATTATTATGGGATATACGTGTCTGTCAGCCCTAAATTCACCAAATAGGATATACGTGTCGGTCAGCCCTATATTCACCAGATAGGATACACGTGTCTGTCAGCCCTATATTCACCAGATAGGATACACGTGTCTGTCAGCCCTATATTCACCAGATAGGATATACGTGTCTGTCAATCCTATATTCACCAGATAGGATACACGTGTCTGTCAGCCCTATATTCATCAGATAGGATACACATGTCTTTCAGCCCTATATTCACCAGATAGGATACACGTGTCTGTCAGCCCTATATTCATCAGATAGGATACACGTGTCTGTCAGCCCTATATTCATCAGATAGGATACACATGAGCAGCATGCAGCAGGTACTTACGCACTCTCCCCCTCTGACCACAAGAGGTTGGGGCCTATCACAATTGCAATGTTGCTAGGGGTCATCTTGTTTACATCACTCTTCTCTGCCAACTTGGCCAGAAACTTCACCAAATATCTGCAAGACAATAACATTGGGACATCAATCATAAAATCTTTACAGGTCTTCAAAACTTGACATGTGTGTGATGCATGTGACATACATTGATACAGGTCTGTGAACGCATGATGACACTTACTACTAATTCAAACCATGGTTTACTCGGTGTCCACAATGTTCCTGTGTACCTTGTATCTAACCTCTTGTTTACAAGGAAATGAGTATTGAATCATGGAAACAAAAATTGTCCACATCCCTGTATATGTCACACAGCTTAATCAGACATCATACCCTAGTGAAGATCTGGTTTAGAATTGATCTTCATCCACTCATGCTTGTCACAAGAGGCAACTAACAGATAGGATCGTCAGACTTGCCATCTTGGTTGATGCTTGTCATTGTATCCCAATTACGTGGAATGATGCTCCTACTAATCACTAAATTATCTGGTCCAGATTCAATTATTTATAGACCATTGTCACATAGCTAGAATATATCTGAGTTCAAGGTTATGCAACAAACAAATGAATCATATATTATACTACTTACCTAAAGTTGTCATAATTCGGCTTTGGCATTTTCGACACCACAGTCCAGAGAGCTTGTAATCTTTGGTCATGTGGCCTGGGAACATAGATATTGCTTACTCATCTTGTTACCATTGGAGAGCATATAGACACAGACAAGAAATGATAACATGCACTGACTAATGAACAAGAAACAATAAAATGATGCACTTCATCCATACAATGGAAGGGAGATAACTCACAATGTTGCTGCCTGCATGAAGTCTGTGTACAGAGAGTAGGTGAGAAGTGGTTCTGGAAGTTCACGCATGTACTGCTTCAAGGCTCCTGTGTAACACATGGAAGAATACCAATACATCAAAGTCTGCCACATAACAAATGTCTAAGTCCTACAGTGAGTGAGTGGATGTTCTTTTGCTCTGCTGTCAGCTATATTCCAGTTTTATCAAGGCTGCTCGGAAACAATCAAGCCAGGAAGACAAGTGGTTGATAACCTAAGCAATGACCCATGCCACTGACCTGCAAGGATACCCAATCTACCACACATTGTGTAGATCTGACCCTCATTACCAGTATTCTCTTCTGACACTGGGGACATATTCTGCCCTTGAATTCGAACTACAGGGGTTAATCAAGTTCATAGCTGAGTTTGTTCTCCCTAACAGTTATTCATATATTAAGCCTATTTCTAACTCAGGGTTCAGATTCATAAACACAACCTTGAAATTACCTTAACATGTTTCTTAGCACCTGCATGCTAAATTTGAAAACAAGAATGACGTTACAGTCACAAAATAAAGTAATCAGTAAATAAAAGCAGGCAAATGTATTTACCTGCTATGACGTGTGGTTCTGTAACAAACTCCTCCATGTCAATGAGATGTGCATCAAACACAGCCTGTAACAACAACAAGTACAGTCAGTGCATACATTAGAGATGTGAGTGCTTCCTGTTGCATGCATACATTAGAGATGTGAGTGCTTCCTGTTGCATACATGACCCAGGTGAGTGCTTACTCTTGCTTACATGACAGAGGTGAGTGCTTCCTCTTGCATACATGACACAGGTGAGTGCTTCCTGTTGCATACATGACCCAGGTGAGTGCTTCCTGTTGCATACATGACCCAGGTGAGTGCTTCCTGTTGCATACATGACCCAGGTGAGTGCTTCCTGTTGCATACATGACACAGGTGAGTGCTTACTCTTGCATACATGACACAGGGGAGTGCTTACTCTTGCATACATGACACAGGGGAGTGCTTCCTATGGCATGAATTAAGCTGAGTGTTTCAACAGAAGCATTTGTTACATCCACATTTATACAACTATATGAATTTTATTCAAATTGTGCTTTAATGTTCAACACATCTGGGCTAAAATAGTGGTAAATATGGTAAAAGTTTGTCGGGACACATCTGAGTTTGAGACAACAGCGTCTGACTCTACTGGTATGTCTTGCAAGCTGAAGACATTAACTATATTGACACAGCACAGTTCCATTAGCTTTACATTGAATGATAACAGTGCTGACAGGCCAAGGATCATATTTGAGCAGATATAGAATTCAAACCCACAAACAGCAGATTGTTGAACTCACCTTTAATTTTTTAAGCTTAATTGCAGCACCTGCTATTCTAAATAAGCCCTGTAATGAAATAGAAAGTACAAATCAGGTCAATGTTTCAAAAAGAGGGTTCAAAACTTTATGAATCCACCTAAAAGCAAAGGATTTCCCCCCCATTTAACACAATAAAAAATCCTGACCAATAAATGCCACAAATTAAGTTAACTTTTTATGACACTGTAACATGAAAACTAGTGGTCTCCAAGGTTAACTTTTGTTTTGTTCTTGTTTAACGCCACACTAAGCAATATTCCAGCTATATGACGGCAGTCTGTAAATAATGAAGTCTGGGCCAGAGAATCCAGTGATTGATATCATGAGCATCGATCCACTCAATTGGGATACGATAACATGCATCAACCTAGTGAGCAAGCCTACCACCCAATCCCAATAGTAGCCTCTAACGACAAGCATAGTCGCTTTTTACGGCAAGCATGGTTTGCTGAAGACCTATTCTACCCGGGATTTTCACAGGTCGTCGCCAAGGTTAACTGTAACACAGTCTTCAATATAAGCCACTATCCCAGAGGCTCATCCTTCAGTCTCTAGGACATCTCATAATCTCATACATATAATGAGGGGAATCTGCCTGCTGTTAAAAATTAGGAGGAAGTTTCTTACAGAGTGCCAACAAGTCATTGTGCTCGTCTCTGTTTAATCAGAGATAGAGTAGTCCCAAAAGTTAACAGTTAGGGATGCTATTATTTTTTTAAAAGCTGCAGTCAGCAATATTCCAGCTATATCACAGGCCCTGTAAATAATCAAATGTGGTTCAAGCCAACCTAACTGCATCACTGTTACAGTTTCTAAATTAATATCAGCCTCACCTCCTCCTCCATGCCTGTCTCCAGAAGCGTGACAATACAGGCCTCGAACACAAGAGCAATGTCTCTCCCTGTCACACGCAGGTGCTCCACCAGAGACGTTCCATACACTGGCTTGTTGGGGTAGTTATCTGAAAACAGCCAGAACGGAAAAATCAAACAATAGTTATCATTCTTAGTAATTCTAAAAATACTACCTCTATTAATCCTGCATTTTAGCTGCAATCACACTAAAAATAAATTTTCAGATTTTCAACAGAAGTCCTCTTCACTATCAACTATACATATTAGTTGTGACCCTAATAGCACTTTGGACTACTTCTTCCATGTACAAAGGTTGGAAAATCATCACATCTTTCCAATATCAATCACTAGAGACAGAAGATTGGGGATGTGGGAGGGTGTATATTTGATGTAATAAAGGTAGTACGTGTACTCTCAGAAATCTTATTGTTCTGATAATTCTTATTATCCTCTACCTCTATAACATCATTTCCAGATAATACAAGAGGGAACAGCGGCTTCTGCCTCTAGAACACTCTGTTGTATAGTTGACAGTAAATCTAGCAGAACCATGTTGTAACATCTTTGGACTGCTTCAGGTCTTTATGAAGAGTTATCCTATTCTTCACCTCAAAGGACTTGAAAATCGTGCAGTAGAACAATCAAACAATAGGTGACATCTTCTCTTGAACTATCGTTATATTGCTGATATTCTTCTTAATGATTGTCTTTAGAAACTTCTAAGATATCATTATTTAGGTTCTGACGTCATTCTGGTCCATTATTTACCGGGTGTGATGTCACTTCCAGTCTAAATGATGTCATTTCCTGTCTCTATTACGTCATTATGACAGTACTTCCGGTCCATATAAATGATGTCACTTCTGGTACTGTTTATGTCACCTCCGGTCCACCCTGAGATACATGTAGGCACATAGCATGTTCTTCTAGAGCTAATGGTATTCACCTTCAGTAGCTGCTGATTAAAGGATTTGAGCAAGGATTACATTGAAAGATAGTATAAGTTACTCACCTATTGATGTTTTCATTCTGGGTATGACTTCTTCAATGTATTCCAGGGCCTTTTTATGATACTCTGCTTGTGATTGTAAAAGCTAAAAAGATAAGGAAACCCTTGTCAAAAATGTATAATAACACCCAAACAAACAGTCTGTTAAGAGTAATAACTGATGTTGCTATACTAATAAACATGTGAAACAGATATGTTTGACTAAACCCATTAATTTGTGAAGTTACTTTGGTTTATTATGCATCATAACTTCCCACTGAGACTTACTTCTAGCAGCCTTGTACTGTGGTCAGTTTCCTTGGCAACAAAGTTGGACAACTCAATAGCAAGACAATCCTGGAAGTAACAGAGAAGAATAGTGTAAATATTCATTTCAACTTCAAGGAACATCACAAATAGACAGTTATTTCGAGCTTTAAAGATTTAGTCCCTGAAGAGTTCATATCTCCAGGAGTCTTCAATTTGGGCCAAGTTACATGGAAAATTGGATGGTGAAATTTCAAGGACAAAAAATGTCAGCCAAAGTTATCACAGTTCTCTTACACTAATTTCTGGAGGCAAATCAAATCATTTCATCACCTTTAAATATGAATTGTGTAATCTAATCAGAAGCTATTCAGACATGAAATGAAATCCAATCAGGTGATTTTGTGTCTTCATCCAGTTTTTATTTGAGAACATTTGCAATCTCATCTTTTATTAAGTGGAAAACACCTAAGATGACAAAACAACTTCACACTCTCTTCACAGTAAAATGATATCGTAATAAGTTCAACTTGGCTCTTTCCAAATCCCATGTAACATGCACATTCCATTAGAGATGATCTGGACTTGACTTACATCCCAAATCTCTGAAAGGCAGAACCTAAATGCCCACCATAGTCGATAATTATTTAGAGATAAAACATAAATTTACATATTTCTATTTTTGCTTTGAGAGCTAAATATTTTTGAAGAAACAAGTTGTTTTTAACTCCTAATTGCATTTATTTTGGGTTCACATCCTGGTATCTCTTGAAAGGGATGTACAGTCCTTTAACTCAGCTGATTATTATAAGGGAGGTAACTCTTCAAATGTTGTCATATACCAGTTCCACACTTTCAGTTTCTTTTGGAATTGATCTTACAAGCGAGGTGGCACAAAACTGTATCTTGGGAAAGTACATACATAAAACTCAAATGCAAAACTTAACCATGACAACAGCTGCTCTCTTTCTTCACCACCAGCATATGATATAGTTTATCAGGTTGTTTCCTTTGATATCGTACAGCAAACCGTATACAGGACACAACTGTTTCCTCACTCTCACCTTAACCTGCTCCACTTTGTTCATGGCATCTTCGTACTCATCCTTTATCGTGTCTGCCTTTGCTGCTGCTGACGAGATGTTTGTCCCTGGGACGTGAGACTGCCGCACAGCAGCGTTCAGCCTAGGTAGGGGCAAAACATCCATTAGATTCATGTACTACAAGTACAACATCTATGTACCATGTTGTAAAGCTATGCTAAACATAGGTAACTTCAATGGATTGGGTGGTTATGCCTGGTGACATGATTGATAGTGTGTCAACATACCCCGATGGAGTGAAATGTTGCTCATCATATCAATTCCTGGTATACTTATGGGCTTGACTACATACAGACTGCGTCATATAGCTTGCATGGGCAACATGTTTTCAAACTCCTAAAATTTAAGGTTATTAAAGCCTTGTGAAAATCAATCATTCACATATTGTAGTTATGTCAGTCAAATTGTTGATGCCATTCCATGATGGTTACCATGCTTACATAATCTCCCTATGCAGAAGTTATCAATGATCTGGAAACACTTACCTGTCGTCATGGACATGCTATTGTTGTATTTTCATCTGATACACTTATCTCACCATGCCTACCATTTTAAAGATTGTAGTATATTTACTGCAATAATAAAAGGATCTAAAATATCACCAAGATCATGGTTTGCACAATGTCTCTATTCAATCAGTCAACACCATCTACCATATTTCCTGACTTTAGATGTGCTGATTGTTAAAGGTCAAGTACCGGTACCTGTTTTTGGCTGAGTCCATATCCAGCGTCGACTTGGTCAGCTGTTTTCGCACCTTGTTAATGGCAGGGATATCCGCCTGTAACAGAATCAAAGGATGTGGATACACAACTGTATGGTGGTACACATACACCATACAGTCCTCCCTGTTTATAATGCCACCTTCAAATCAGCAGGAAATAAGGCATTATAACCAGGGTGGCATTATAACTATGGAGGATTGTACTTAACTGTGGCACACTTGTGCTATGTATACTGTACAGGTACGCATACACCATACTGTCCTCCCTGTTTATAATGCCACCTTCCGATGAGCAGAAAATAAGGCATTATAACCAGGGTGGCATTATAACCATGGAGGACTGTACATAACTGTGGCACACTTGTGCTATGTATACTGTACAGGTATCATGGCGGGGGACACCACAAATGGGCTTCTCACTATGCACCCATGTAGGAAATCGAACCCTGGTCTTTGGCGTGACAAGCTAACACTTTAACCACTCGGCTACCCCACTGCCCCTTCAAATGGCTTAAAATGGTTAAAACAATTGAAATTATTGTAATAACGTCACACAAATGAATTCTTCAATGCAACAATGTTGAGTCCAAAATAATAATACATATCCTGTAAAGTATCTGAATCATTGAACATGTCTTGTGATAAACCTCTCCTGTGTTCCTACTGTCAATGGACCTGGGACCTGGGTAAACGGATCCTATTTGCCTGACAATCAATGTTAACTGTGATTACTAAACAGTCACATCTCAAACTTTCCCTCTATCACTGTACATTGTATTTTGAATATTAGTGAAAATCACCACTGAGTCTGTATGAAGGTACATACATGTATTATATGAACAACCAAGTCTTGACAAGGACTGAATCGGGTTAGCAGTTTGTTTGTGTGCGTGTGTGGATGTCCGATGATTGATGCAAAGATGGCCAAACAAAGGCACTTGTTGGGTGTTACAACTTCTATATGCTCATGTCTTATGCAAGCTCAAAGCTGAAGGACAAAAAGCCCTTGGCGTGCACTCAATCCTTACACAAACATACTATGTTGTCAGAGTTTGACGACAACATGTAAACAACAACAATAACAATGGATTCATATCACATTTAAAGTTGTGGGTGTTGACAGGGATCCTTACTCAAGTCGAATTGTTAATGACATGTATGCAAACATGTACAGCTTACAATATAATACTGGAACATACTTTCAGGTACTGCATGAACAGATTGGAAAAAGCCTACTAATCTCTCTTACAAACAATATAATAGCTAACTATCTCTGTCCATACTCTATGGAATATATTCAGTACATATTAGCCATCACCTACTAAATGACTATTGATCATTATTATTAGGACAATAATAGTCTAATGATGTGTCAGTTTTTAAATCTTCTTGCTATTCTATAGTCTAGAAAATTCCATATATTCTATTGTGACAATCCTGCAAAGAAATATTCTCAAACATCTTGTATGGTAAAACACACATTCAAACCCATCCTAACACTTTTTCTATGTTCCGTGTGTTGCTGGTGTTTATGTGAGTGTGCAGTGTTGTATAAATGTTATCACTGACTTCCTATGTTCAGATCTATGTAGCCTAAACTTCCTTCAGGGTAACCATGATAGGTTGAAACTTATCTTACACTACCATAATATCCTTCCCACACCATCAACACTGCTGAAAAACAGAGCTACCAACTAGGGGGTGAAACGATACAGCAAGGTTACGATACGATACGTATCTCGATACACAGGTAATGGTACGATACATATCGCGATACCCATATTTACATCACATTGGGTGGAAACTTCCTGACTATGAATATTTCGGAGCATGTTCTAGAAAAAACTAGCTGCTATTTTCAGTAGTGAATTTGGAATGCTTGGAGTACAAACACATTTTGTGAAATTCTACTAACAAAATTGAGGGGGTAATTAAATGAGTAGTATTTAATATATTTTAGCAAGTCTATTGTCTTGTATCAATACAAAAGAAAATGTATTTTGTATTGTATTGCCGTATGAAAATGTATGATGCACCGGTGCACCGATGTAGCGTTTCACCCCTATTACCAACCCTTGCATGGTTTAGAGACTAAACCAAAACAAGCGTAGAAACCTTGATTCTATCAAACTGTCAATACTTGGAGACATTTTTACATACCTACAGAAGAAAAGATTTACATGTAATTTAGTTGCTTTACAGATACAGTCAGGTTTGGTGATGTGGTTAACACTGTCTCATCATGACATAATATCATGGACATAATAAAATCAATCACTGGAGACATGATTATTTACAGGCTGCTGCTAGAATATTGCTGAGCATGGCTTAAATAACAAACATACACACCCTCTGTGTTAAAAGTGATCATTTCTATCCCTGTTGATATGTATGAGTTCATTTCCACTTAAAAAGATACATTTGTTTTGTACCGATGCATGAAATACTGTGGCATACAGTATCATGATACAGGGATACTTGGTGAATTGTTACAGCACTACATGACAGTACAAAAACCTGTTTCAGAGATGTAGCAGAAAAAGGAAACTGACCTCCTGTACACCCAGTAGGGGTGTGAGCACCTCCCTCTCCACGTTGATCTCATACTGCAGTTGTTCCCGGGCTAACTTGCTCTGGCACTCACCACAGATTTGACAGACCAAGCTGAAACAACAATACCTCTTTTAACAACAGTTTGCATATGATTGACTAGGATTGCACTGTATTACCGGTATCCGGTATACTTCAATACGCTTTTGAAATGATTATGTTATTGAATGTTCAGGTTAATTAGTATGACTAGCAAATGTAACTGCACTCAGTGATGGGCATTTTTACAGTGTTTTTACAGTGTTACAAGATCATTGTTTGATGATTGTTTAATGCCACACTTGGCAATATTCCAGCTATAAGATGGTGGACTAAATAATCGAGTCTGGACCAGACAATCTAGTGAATGATATTGTAATCAATGAGCCACGTTGTCAGTGTACGATGACAGGCAATCAACCAAGTCACCGAGTCCAGTAACCACCCAATCCATTAAGTCACCTCTTACAACCAGGACAGGTCTCTGGGGAGCAATTCTAACCCAGCATCCCAACATGGACCATAATAGTGGCTCAGGTAACAGACAGAACAAATACACTTATCTATTATTAACTTTTCACATTACAAAAAAAATATAATTTTAATACTTTCCAACAAAATCCTGTCATCGAACAAAATCCTGTCGTGACAAAACCCCTTTATTTGAAAACATTTATGTTCATATTTGCATCCATATATAACCCCAATGGTGCTATTTCAGTCTGGAATGTTGACCGAGTTATTCCATATTCAAAGTGGCTTCAACAAGCTTGTCTCACTGTGTGTCTCCCAAGTCTAGTTTGATCATCCTTATTTCAATCTGCCCTGATGATGATGTGTAGGAGTCTCTAGGAAACTCAGCATGGAACACACAAGCTTTTCATACTCTGTGTACATAATGACTTCCTTCACACAACAGTTATATAGTTTCTGATATGCTTCCTCTATATATCAATGAGGAGATGACCTACTGTGTTAAATATATTTTTAGGTATGCATTACATGTACATTGATGGGTGTGACATTTTCCAAATATAAAGCACAGCTACCTTATTTCGACAAACTGAAGGAAATTCTCAACTGACCTGCAAGGAATAGTCTATTCTAAGTATAAGTAAGGATAAGAATTTATGGATGAACAACTTCTTTATTACAATTAAGAGAGACAGTTTGGTGTAGGTTCTAACACCGTTATCAAGCAAGTGTTGTTAGAAGCGGTGTTAGAACCTACACCGAAACGTCGCTCTTAATTGTAATAAAGAAGTTGTTCATCCATAAATTCTTATCCTTACTTAGTACTCCAACTTCTAAATGCCTATCAAAGAAGTTATTCTAAGTATGCCAGCCTCTGAAAACTGTGACTTGTTTGAAACTTAACAAAGAGCACAGTTGCTAAGATATCAATCAAGAGCAATGAATGTTTGAATGGCCTCTACATGAGTTAGTTTCTACTGTTGATATTCCAACAAATGCATCTGAGAGATCACTGTCAGTATCTACAGACATTATGGTCTTCACCAAGGGGGACAACTCACCCCAGAAGTGTCTCTGTACCCAGAATACCAGCTGCCTCTATCAAACTGTACCCCAGGGATGTTTCTGGCAACTTTTTCTGAAAATATGAAGATATAATAATATTTGTTACATGTGTCAGTAAATCCACATATATGGTTCAAGCTTTACATTTACGTAACTGTCACACTTAGCACTGCTAAAGCATTTGATAATAGAGAGAAATGATGCTCAAATCTTCAGTAAACACACTACAGCTACATCACAGCCTGCAAGGTGTGCAAGCAGGCACATCAATGGTCGGTAGTGAGGGTGTGTGGTATTATCGGTTTATCAGTAAATTGAGGTTCATTCTTTCCACGATACGTATCACAATATCATTTTATCATGCTCAATATATCGGATGATTTCAAATAACGATTTTTATCATGTGTTTAATGTTATTTTTTTGCCAAATGCCTTCGTTGCCCCACAGCATGCATCCGGGGATTGACTGAGAAAACATTATGTTGTACCAGCATTTAGTTTTGTTTCAATTATGAACTTCAATTCAAACTTTAATGTATCAGATTGGTGATGAATTAAAAAATTAGAATTATACAATATATTGTGATACGTAGCGTATTACGGCCTTGTGCATCGCAAAATACACTATAAACCTCCAATACCCATCCCCAGTCAGTAGTATGTCATCAGGATCAACCAGGTCACAGCTTACTAGAGCCATTGTGACCAACCAATCCTTATTGAGTTGCATTCTTGAAGCTGCATTATGTAGACAAATGGTACCAGGACATTTCCACGCTTCATAAACTTTTGATAGGACATTCTCCTATATCATTACCAAATTTGAAAAATATCCTCAGGACATTATGGGTAACAATCAGTCATTGTCTGAAAACAATCTGAAACAATGGAGTATGTTTGTGTGTACATATGTCAGAAATAAAGGGAGTTATAGGTACCCCAATTTTACAAAAAACACTTGACATTCCAACACTGACATATGATAGGTACATACAGGGAAAATACAAGGCCTGAAGTAATGTTCCATATGTAACTAAAACTGGTTGCCATAAGTTATCATTATTCAGACAAGTCCTCTGGAAACTGAGCTGCTTCACTGTTAACATAGCTAAGTTGGGATAATCTGAATATAGAGTACAGCTGTTGGTCCTACCAGTCTCTTCTCCACATCTCCTTGTTGAGCCTTGAGGGTGGAAGACAGCTTCTTGCCGATGGTGGACGAGACAGTCTTGACATTTTCAACTCTCTTCTCGACACTCTGGAATTCCTCGGATAAAACCTCTGACTTCTCAACTCTGAAAATAACAAACACAACTGTAGACTAGAGACACCACACCTTCATATACTGGGGCTAGTTAAAACACTTACATCTATTTTTTGCCATGACAGTGTGTCTTCAACATCATAACAGTAGGGAACACAAGACAAGTAGTGATTCAGTGAGTTAAGTCAAGACAATATTTCCATCATATCACGACATGTGTGAACTGATGCAGATGATAGACTATTATTACTTTGGTAAAACCCATGTACATAGTGGAACTAACTGATGTAACTCTGCACCACTTTAGACACCTTATATAACTGGACCACCTGTACACCAACAAGAATATTAGCTTGACACCTGGAACCAGTTCCATAAACACTGATAATCATGATAAAGGTTCACTAAGTACAAAACATGATGAAAAAGCTATATGATCATGATAGGGCACCAACATGATTCATCATTGTTCCTTACAAAAAATGGTTATTCAAAATTAATTGTGTAGATACCCCCATCTGTGAAGTCTGTGATGATGTGGAAGATGTCACTCATTATTTCTGTCCATGTAAGAATGTTTCTACTTTGTTTAAGAAATACAAAAACTTTCTAAGTAATAATACTTCAAAACAATGGTCTTTAGAAACTCATATGTATGGACCATAACATGGATGACTTTTTTAACCTAAATTTGAAATATTTTATTTACAAATTACATTGTTCACAATCACATGTGAAATATCAATTAAGGATTTTATTGCTGAATTGAAATATTCCATGTTAACATTTAAATATAGCAAAAATGCTACATCAAGAATGTGTGTGTAAAACAGAAAAAGGGAGCAAAGCCTTGTGAATTTAATGAAGCCTATGACATCACTGACCCAATAACATCATGGGTACAGCATGTCAACAATGAGTTGCAACATTGTTCAGCAACAATGTTCTCTGGTAAAATTGCATGTGCTTATAATTTTTTTTATCCCCTATGTAATAAATTCTGATCACTTCACTGCACTGAAACTGCAATATTTCAATAAATGAAATGATCGAGAAGTGACAGTTAATTTCCAGCACAGTCTGTAACATTGTTACATGCCTGCCTAATACACGACCAAGAACATGATAATAGAGAGGATTACATGGAACGGAATCCGGCAACCTGATTGAGTCACGCATCTACCAAATTGTACATTCAATCACTGACATTACATGCTGGCACAACTGGCTTCATCATGGCAGTTTCAGTTACAAGATAAGCATCAAAGTGAAATGCTAATTTCCTTTTATAACCATGACACCAGTAAATGGATATACCAGGGCTGTTTTGTTCTGTTTTATCATGGAACAGGTTACATTAACACAGACAAAATAGAGTTTCCACAGCCAGCCCTATGTGTCTGTGACATGCATAAAACACATACATTTACTGGGTCACTGTGACCCACCATGACTGATATGTACATGGTATGCTGACATAACTGTTCCTGCAAACACAAATAACAGTAAACCATTCCATTGCCAAGCCTCTTCATTGATACATGACCTATGATACAAGGGTGACCAGCAGACGGGTAAATGTTTAATTAATGCCAATAGCATTACTTTCCTTAAGCTAGCATCCACAGCGATAAAACCAGTCTCTTAGCCATTCCAACATGCCTGATTCTCATTGGTGAAAGTAATTATGCCCAAGAATAAGTACACATTCTCAGGGAACTTCTAACGATTGATTTTCAGGATCACTGATAACTTATTTACAGAGAATAGTTTTCTTCTTTTTATATGACAAAACATAAAAAACTTCTTAATTAACAATGAAAGTCAAAAACAAATCAAAGTGTCAGGAGTCCCTAAATTCCAATATTAAAGCAGCAAAACTCCAGGACTCCACCATCACTTCCCACTACGTACAATACCGGGGTATCCTAATTCTGATAATGATGCTGATGATGTCTAACATGCTCCTAGTTGTAGTTGTCATGGTTATAGAAAACCATGTGATGGCACTGTGCGTATAGGATAGCATGAGTTAACACTACAACAACTTCCTGCCACAACATCTTGGCAGCATTGTGTATTACAATGACTTCCTGCATCACAATACAAACAGCCACAACACTGCCACAATAGCCAACAATTCCTCTTGCATAACCTAGCTAAATGTGGCATTGAAATACTTTGCACTAGTAATATAGAAATATAAACAAGAGTGAGTGAGTGAGTGAGTGAGTGAGAGATTATTGCTTCATAAGCAAAAATCACATTTCCCATATGGCGACAGTATGCTTGATGGCTAAGATACATGTAGCAGAATTCTGTGACAGCTTTTTACAGTACATTTCTGGGATGACCCCTCGTTTCTGAAGAGATTTTGAAAATGTAAAAGTACAACAAACAGACTAGGTACTGACAAAGTACCATGACCAAAGCTTACTACAGCTGTGTTGTAAGTGACTCAGCTTTCCTTATCACGCTGACCAGAACACAATGTTTATAAGAGTTCAAGTACACATGTATTTACAAACAAGGAAATGTCTGTGGTCTCCAGTATAAATGATGGCCACATGAAACACTTCCTGCACTAGACAGAGTGTGGTCACTCCTCAGATGACTCATGCCATCACTTCTTTGATGTAATAATCCCACCAGGAAACATCTGCTTTGACAAAACCTACTTCCAATGTAGGTTTGATAGACCATAACAAAACAGTATGACTCGATCACATCAAACATATTTCCATTACAATATTTTGATAGCCTAAGGCACTGTGTTGCATGGTTCCCTTAAAAAGCCTAGTTTGGAATAAACATCGTCATTGTATGCACAATTTGAACAGTTTTATTCCTCTACCTCTACCTTTGTTTTAACCTATATATTAGTACAGTCAATCCCCGTTGTCTTGAGTGAGTGAGTATTGTTTTACGCAGCTTTTAGCAATATTACAGCAATATCACAGTAGGGAACACCCCATTGTCTGGAACTTGGATGTGTCAAATCTTTGATTGCTTTGTAGTCACAGTCTGATCCAGGCAAACTCTTAAAATATTTATCTTGTGTCAAACTTAATTCCCAGTCATATCAAAACTCATTTTATAGTCCCATGAGTTAATACTTTCCCTGATAGGAAAATCTCAATTTTTGGCACCAAGGCACAACACAATAATCTATTTACTGTTGTAATTATGATACAACATCATGATAATCCAGTGATGTGACTAAAATGCACATAGCTGCATAAATGTAGATGTGACAAATATCTCTTATCATTCACAATGATTACATAAATGTTATATGCTTAACATGCACAATACGTTTGCTTCTTATTGTCTAATGGCTATGTCAGACAGTAAAAAGGTCGGGTGATGTGTCAAACTCCTGATAAATCAAACAATCTCTCTAGAGTTTGAGGCCACAGGGTTCAACTGTATTTTCACTTTCATTTGGACATCATTATCATGATTGTGGTGAAGGCATACACAGCCAAACATGATTTCCATGAATGCTATCCTCTTTAGTGCAATGTGCCAGTAGTTTATAGCTTGGAGTCAGTGAGTGAGCAGGGCTTGACACTTTAGCAGTAGTCAACAATATCACCTCAGGAACACCTGAGATGGAACTCCACACATTGAACCAATGTGGGTAATCAAAGCCAATGATTGAACAACTTAGCTGCTCCACCTGACTGCATAAAGACATTCCTGAATGATGTGTACTGGAAAATACACTTGTGCTACTCTATGAATCTTATCATTGTGCAAAGATAATAATTCAGTGTGTAAATATGCTGAATCAAGACTCAGTAACCCAACAACAAAAATGTTCAATGCCCTTGTGTTTTCCCCTCAGTGTTCCTTATGCCATATAACCACTGTTGACCTCTCCACAGAGGCGATATAACCTTGTATAACAGGCAGGATATACAGTAAATATACACAGCCAAGCCAGGCAATATACATACAATATGCCCTCCAGACTATTAATTCATGCACAGCCTCTGAATGGCAGAGTACGATGTTTGGCCCCCTGCAGAAAGAGGCCCTTTACACTATGCATTGAAGCCATATGATCTATGTACTCCATTATGACACAATATTTGTTGTATGTAGTGGAGGCATAGCATTGCACATGCTTCCCCTGAAATCCATCCTGATCTCCGAGAGAATGTGATCAGGTTGTCTACACATGGCAGACTTGGCTTACATTGAATGTTGGATTGGGAAAGTGTGTCAGTCTGACTCATATGTTGAGATACAGCCATGGCCACCACAATACATCAAAAGCACTTGCATAACAGTCTATTTGCACAACATGTCTATCTTCAACATGAAGAGGGGCAGTGGGGTAGCCTAGTAGTTCACACTGAAAACACAGGTTTGATTCCTCTCATGGGTACATTGTGTGAAGACCATTTCCCAACCCTTGATATTGCAGGAATATTGAGGCTGGACACTCTCACTGTCTGATGTTGAACACTCATGGGTACACAACAAGCCAGTAGCATTATAGTACACATTGTTTGAAAAGCAGTGTAAGAACATTCTCACTAACTCACTCAATAAGAGTGAGTGAGTGTCTGAGTGAGTATGGTTTTATGCCGCTTTTAGCAATATTCCAGCAATATCATGGTAGGGGACACCAGAAATGGGCTTCCGCATTGTACCTATGTCGGGAATCGAACCCGGGTCTTCGGCAGACGAGCGAACGCTTTAACCACTAGGCTACCCGACCACCCCTCACTCAATAAGAAGAGTGAACACCGGAATACTTGTGGCCATAGAGATTCACTTTCTAGTGTTGAATATTTGAAATGATACTATGAAAATAACATGCCATCTGAGTCTGACATCATACAGTATCTGTCTGCATTTCTTCTTGTATTCCAGCCATAGATTTGCCAATGCATTGACAAGTGTGCAAGAGGGCCTATCCGCTATTGCAATGATTGGAATGAACAATTCTGTATGCCTCTCTGGGGACACCTTGGATCAATACATGTATGTTTCAGCAACGAGAAGATGCACAGTGAG